CAATAATGAAACCACATGAAAGCTACCATTCGGGGATGGTTACAACCTGTGGCTCGTCCGAGGCAAATGGCAACGGCTGAACACAGCAGCTTTCCTGCACCTTTGGGGCAGCAGAATTGGTGGTTTAATGGCATATCTATGAAACATTGAAATGTCCAGTTTGTTGGTATGTATATATATATATGTATACATATATATATGTATATATATATATATATGTATGTATATATGTATATATGTATATATGTATATATGTATATATGTATATATGTATATATGTATATATAAATAGATATATATATATATATATTTAGATATATATATATAGATAGATATATATATATATATAGATATAGATATAGATATAGATAGTATATATGTATATATGCATTTGATCAAATATGTATATATACAAATGTGGGTTATTTCATACAGCAAGTAACACCTGAAGTTAAAGGTGACTGGGCCCGCAGATCCAGGCAGGATTTTCTCACCTGGCAATGACCAGATCCGAAGTAGATCACCTGCAGTCCGCACTCGGCCTTCCATTGAGCCAAATGTTGATTAACCATCATGGTTAACCATGTCGTTTATGGAGATAATATCCATTGAGAGATATCATAATAGATATGTTTTTCTTTGGTTCCATGGGTATAACCATGTATTTGTTTAATTGTAGATGATTTTCCTGTCAAACTGGGGCTGGTTCAGTACCATGATTAGAGTACCTGATGTTTTGAATTGTGCGGGAAAAACAATGGTGTGTCTGGTCATGAAGCTGCACAGTGCGTGCAAGAGATGTACGGATCAACAGCCACCCGGGACAAACTCACCATTAATGATGGCTGGCAGGAGAAGCTACCACCAGAATGCTATTATATAAATCCATTGATTTTTCAAATCACCCAGACCCCTTAGGACTTTCACTGCATCATGTTTCTCTGAGGTTTTGACCATCACTCCAATCCAACTTTGCCCATTCCGAAAAGCTGTGACAACAGTCTTACTCGTAGGATACCGACCTTGCCCAGAGGAACTGCAGAGGTTCACTTTTGTTTCACCAGCCCATTCTCCCCATTATCCTCCGACCCCAGCTGTCAACTCCTCAACACAAACTGCTGGTTTTCTGTTTGTCCTTTTTTGCACACAGATTTTGAGAAGAACGATGTTTTAAAGAAGACCGATTGTTCGAGAAGGATGCGCAAAGTTGTTTTTAACCCCCCTAAAATACAACCCTACCCATTCTTCTCAAAAATCATTCTCCTCATTTTTTTTGGTGAAAAACTGTTCTGCAATTTCCACCATTTAAATTTGTGATGAGAACGATTGCTCTCGTGAGAACGATCTTTGATTGAAATGTGCGAGAGAACGATGCAATGTCACTTCACTGGGCTAAACATGTCCTCAAACATGGCCCAAGAGAACGATGAGTGACTTAACATGCATTTTCCCAGTGAGAATGTGTAATCACAGCTTAGAATCACTAGTTCATTGGTCTTTTCCACCCAGAAACAACCAAGCAACAATCAGCCTCTTTGGATCCTGGAAAGTGGTGGCACGCCGAGGATTTCCATTGAAGACACCCCGCACCAAAGAGGTCAGTCTGTTGTGAAGTTTGAAGCTTTCCTTTTCTCAGTGGTTACTTACCCTCTGGTAAACAAACATAACTATGGAAAATCACAATTTTTAATGGGTAAATCAACTATTTATATGGCCATTTTCAATAGCTATGTTAGTTTACCAGAAAGTAAGCACTACCCGGCTACCCCTAGATGGAAGACTCTCGTATTCCTTTTTGATGAAAGAGGTCAGGTCAATGACATTACGTTGTAATACATATTTCACTACTCAACCAGGCCCCATAATTGGGGTTCATCCCAGGAATCGCAAGTTATAACATGTGAGAACCCCATTTACAAGTAGGGTAAGTAGGGTTAGTCCACTTGTAGTTGGGATGTTTTAATCCACTTACTAGCTGGAAGGAGCTGGGATGGCCAAGTACAAACTCTTTCCCCTAACTTGTTTTTTTTCGCGTCATTTGCCAGCTTCGCTGTGAAAGGCCTACATGTTTCGCCAGTTCTTTGCCAGCCACTTTGGCGACAACTCAGCTGCAGCGTCAACAGCGTTTCCCTCAGAGTCGAGTGATCGGTGAAGGGATGATGGATCCACCAAGAATAGGATTTTTGTTTATAACAAGTAAACACCACTATCAATCATAAATCCTTAGAAAGTGCAACAATTATATAGCAACCAGCATTTTTTACTGGGATGTTCAAATCTTGACTTTATCTTTTCTAGGGGTGCTATAAGTTCTTTTGATTTTGCAGGAAGATTCTGCTGGAAAAGCAACCGGTGTATCTACGGTTCTCAGGTTAGCCATCCCATTGATTCTCATGGTATCGCTGTGCACAGCTTGCTGTTTTCCTTTGAATTCCAAACGAAAGCGCGCTTGTGATCACTTATGAACTTATGTACCCCACTATCATCCGTCATATCCGTTGTATATTTCCGTTAATTTCTGGCGCTTAATCCCTACAATCCGACCAACTTCGCCTTGAGACGCCTTGAGGTTGGCTGGCAGGACTCCATTGCCTGTTCCAGTGAGGTGTGGTTTACTTGATGGGCTCATGGTTGGCAATTTTCATGGTGGAGAACAAGACAAATCCACATACTATACGAGTTATTACGAGTTGTTTTATATGTGTTTATCATAAATATGTGTGTATTGTGTTAATAAATATGTTTTACATTTAAAATTGTAGGTGTAATATATATATATATACATATATATATATATATATACACACTTATATACCATCCCACAGCCATGGATTTGTGTCATCTCATCACTGTTCAGCCAGGTGGCCCTGAAATGGGACAAGGCATTCCAAGGTCGAGCGGATGCCTCCGGCCGGGCGGTGGCAGGAGTTCATGTCCAGGTGCCCCGTCGGCCGAATGACGCCGCTTCTTTGGAAATATAGCAGCTAATAGTGGGCTAGACCCTCCAAGTAGCTGGAAAATTGGGTTTCAACAAAAAACATGATTTGGGGACGTTTGTTTTTATTTGGAAGGAGGAAACTGGAGCTGTATATATATATATGCAAAGATGAGCACTTAAGGACCTAAGACACAACAATGATGGATCTCTTGTGATATCAAATGATATCAGCACAAAGTGGATATTATCATGTGATAACTTATGATCTCGATGCAGCCAACATGGAGTTACTGAACTGTACAAAGAATCAACACTAAGATGTGTGAAGCTAGAAGTCACCCCTCTTTCAGTCTGAGTTCGTCCTGAATGGACGGTTTCCACCAAATGATGATCAAATACCCATGGGTTTCCGGTTTTGTTTGTACCCTTCAATCAATTCACTTTGTGGGGACCACTTTATCCACTGCCAGGCTTACGATGACAAGTACAAGACCGCTTCTCAATCCTCAGGGACGGTCAGCAACGGCGAACCCCTTGCGAAGAAGGCCCGAGGGCCCGAGCTTCAGCCCAGATGTTGGCATATCTGTCGGCTTCTATTCCACTTCAATGGGGGGAAATACACAAATGCTTACTCCAGTTGTATGAACAAGATAACATATAATCATCATATAACGAGATATGATGTCTATGTACATATATATATATAATTATATATATACTGTATATATCCAAGTACCCAGAAAAAGTTGTGTTTAAACCCAAATTGCTGGAGTGTTTTTTGATTTTGAACAACATCCTGAGGGTTGAGCCAAGGCTGAACCAGAATCAGCCGCTTCCCTTTGGCCTTTTGGTGGTCCAGAAGTCAAACTCCTGTGCTACGATATGTCTTAAGTGGCTGGGACCACACATGAATCGTGACAATCAGTATATATAATGAATAGATAAGCAAGACATCCATGTACAGCGTTGGTATTTACTACACAGATCATGCATCCACTGAATCATGTAGGTAGACTTGGGGGTTGCTGACATAGGGATACCCCCAAATCATCCATGTTCAATCATTTCAATAGGATTGTCCATCATAAATAAACCATCCTTTTTGGGGTATCCCGGTATCCCCATTGTAGGAAATCCCCCTTTGCTGTTGAAAGGCTCGAACCTCTTGCCCCTTGGCTGCACTAAAAAAAGCAGGGCGCATGGAGCTACAATGGTACCTTGGGGTCAGAATCCGAATGGATTCTTGATGGATTCCCAATTTGTTTCAGGGTGTGTCCCCAAAAAGACGATCAGAAGAATTGTTTTTGGAGTATGAAAAAACAGAGACCTTTCAAAATGGAGCTTTCCAATCCATGGGGGTACTCCCAGTTATCATCCAAATTTTGATCAGATTTTCCATCGTCATCCTAAACCATCAGAGCCTGTTTCAGGAATTGATTCTTCGAGGACGCGTGGCGGAGATGACTGGGTAAAGCGGTTCTTGGTGAACGGCTTAGCACCTAGATGTACTTAGATGTAGTTATGTGTGGTTAGATGTAGTTCACTTAGATGTACTGCGAATTACTTGGATGTACTTAGTACTGGCTAGTTTGAAGCTATGAGGAATAACTAGTACTGGAATCATCTCAACTCCTGACCATTTGACATAACTTCTTTGCGGGATTGTAAGGTTAGAGCCATGAGATTGGAGTATATCCGGCCTGACATATCCTGAGATCCAGCTGTCAAGAAAGAGGATCTGAGAGTGGGACATTTAAAGGTGAAATTTTGGCTACCCTTCGGCAATTTAGCGTTTGCAATGGAAACCATACCGTGAACATAGATAATCTATCTCTAAAAAGCGCTGATTTTCCTTCGTTATGTTGAATTATGGGAGGAATACAGATCCATAGAGCATAGTCTTGTGATATCTTGTGATGATCATTCCTAGTTTTTTACCCATTGGCTATGATCACGTACAGACTTTCACCATGGCCAAATTGATCATTTCACACGGTGTCAGCTTGAACACTTTCGGCATCTTTCGGCGGAATTTGCTTGCACGTCCAACATGTCGATCTTGAGCCCCTTTGGGCTCGACTAGCCTCAAACCGTGCCGGACAGCAGGTGGCCGCCAACTGGAGTGGGACGACTGAACTGCACTGGAACTGGAAAGCTCCCAAAGAAAACGACCAGATCATTGATCTGGAGCAAATCATTTGAGTGTGACCATGTCAATGTGTGTGTGTGTGTGTGACCTTATTTGTTGGTATACTCTGCAGGATTTACTACAGATGATCTAAGTGCAACCTATTTTTAGCTGCTGCTATACTGGTTTCTTGGATGAAAGGGTCACTTGTCAGGCCATGGCGTTGTCAGCTTTGTCAGCCAATGGCTGGAGAAAAGAACCTGAGTCAAAGCTTTAGTCTCTGCCAGCTTCGACAAACCGGTGGATGGGGTCATTCGTTCAAAGGTCCAGATCTGTGGATGATCATGTTACACTAAGAATTGCCCAAATCTGTGGAAATCGCTGTTTGAAACTTCCTGAAATGACCCATTGCAGGTATTTCAGGATGGTGACAGATTGGCTTAAGATGAAAGGATGTGGCAATAGGATCCCCGTGGCAATTTCCTCTCTGGAACTGGTGAACCTGCGCATAGTTTAAACATTTGTTTTAATGTATTGGAATTTTAAAATTGATGTCAGGCTAGTCATTTTATTGTTGGGGGGTTGGTCTGAGCATTTTATTGGCAAGGTAAATCCTGATGATTTTTAACATGTTAAAATGCCATTCTCATTTTATTGCAAACAAAGTATGTTTGGAGCATTTTATTGCAGAATAGTATGTTTGGAGCATTTTATTGCAGAATAGAACCAATGCTTTTCCAGGATCTTTTTATATCGATTTTATTGGGCATGTCATTTTAGATCAGCGAATTTTAAGGAATTTGAAGGAATTTTAAGGAATAGCCACGAAAGAATGCCACCGTATTTTGTTGCTGTAAAATGCTATAAAAAAAGAAAAACCACTTAATATTTGGGCACCTCACTCTAAAATACCCCTATCTAAAAAGAATTTTCTGACCCCTTTTTAAAGAGGTGTTTCTGAGGGTCTTCGAAATTGGATGAAGTTGGATGCAAATTCGGGCATGAATTTGCTGGCAATGCATTTTATTGCAGAACCAGTTTTCATTGTTTTTGTGCATTTTAAAGCCTGAAGCCCTATGCACAAAAGTTAGACCGCTCTAAAACTCCTGCACAGCTTCACATAATGAAATGGAACCCCGATGCAATAGGTTCTTCTTGTATCCGCAGTCAAGGCAACACCTTATGAAAATCCCATGTCATCATTGTCATCATGGTGGTTGCTGACCCGTCTCAATCAAAGCAATGAGCTGAATGTCAGTATGGGAACCTTGTTTGGTTGGTGTTTTTATGATTCCTGATGTGTTGTGTATGGTTAAATGGATTCCATCTCTACTCTCTACCTAGTATGATAATCCCCAGTGGCTAAGCCTTTTCACCCCCATCTGGAAAAGAGTTGCTGTAAAGCTCAATGTGAAGCAACAGCGTTTGGACAGCTCGGCGTGGATGAAAGAACACCATTTCTAAAAGGATCATGATCTCACTGATCAGATGTTCAAGTTAAACATAATTACATAACAGATTCATAACAGTAACTACCTAGGAATACCTAGGAATACCTAGGAACATGGTTTCTTTGAAGTTAACATAGTTCCCAAACGGTAAAAACGTGTCCTGGCTTCCCGTGAGGTCCTTGTGCAGTCGGATCTCTGAGACGGAGGCTACAGCGCATCGCCTTCAGGAGGAATTATCCACCATTCTCCGAGGCCTTGCTGGGAAGCCCAGCAGTCGATGGATCTGATACCTCTGGAGGTGAGGAAAATCTGGTGATTTTCAGACGGATTTCTTTGGAGATTGGGATGGGGACTGCGTTTGGTACAACAGTTCTGATTGGACGAAGTCAACAAGACAAGCGGAGTCCGAGTCCAGTTTCGGCTTTCCGTAAATTGCGTGTGATGTAGGTATAATCAGATTAGATTGCAGATGATGTTGCAATATTTGGGGAATGAATGGGGATACTAGGTGATAGAATGAACATGGATCACTTCTCTCGTTCAGCATTCTCACAGACCTTACTTGGAGTATCATCCCGCTTAGTAGCTTGTCAATAAGGTAACCTTGGTTAGTTCCTCAAGTGGGTTATCCGGCATATACAATGGCTTTTGGTTATAATACCTTCCCTTATGGTTCCTACCCTCTGGAATCCAATATAGCCACGGAAAATGGCCCACTTGTTGATAGTTGTAGATTATTGGCCCCAAACACAATGCAGGTTTTCCAAACTAAACATACTAAACTGTAACATACTGTTGTACCGTTATACCGTTATACCCATTTAATCCGATGAATAGATGGTTAACGGACAAATCCGCGAATTCCTGGGTGACTCCAGTCGGCCAAGCGGGGCTGAGGCCGCGCTGAAAGAGCAAGTGCGTGATGCGGACGATTTGGCTGGGGATACAGAGCTGGGGCCTCGGAAGTCTCGAATTTTCACGACTTTTAGATACTGAAAGAATGTTTATAGATGTTTGTGTTTATTATATATAATTAAAATTAGTTTTATACATACATATAATATATATATATATAGATAGATACACACATATATATATATATAATTATATATACATACAGATTAGACTTGCAGTTCAAGTCTCAATTTCAGATTGAAGCTGCAGCTAAAATCACACAACAAATAATATAATAGATATTTATAAAGAATATGTGCAAACCCATATAATAAACAATGTTAAACATATCAGACCAGTAGGGTATCCATAGAATCGCCGTTCTGGTGGGCAACTGGAGGTCCAGGTTTGATGATGTTTTCTGGTTGGATGATGGCTATTGATTGCTATTCCCCCTATTATTCTGGCAGGTTGAAGAAAACCCAGATTTTTGCACAGTGAAACCACCAACCAAAGGATGATATAAGATGTGGATTTCTAGGTGTTATGACATCAGTTTTTCTGTTACTGTGTTTGTTTTTCGTTGCGTGGATTCTAGAGTCCATCCCAGCCTCCATTCAGGATTCCCTTTTCCACATCAGCAGGGGCAATGAAAAGCATGGCTTAGGTTCTCATCAGGATGGTCACCAATCCATTTTCATAGGGATTTGTGTGATTTGTGTACCAATATATGTGGTAAACCCGATAGTAAAACCTCTAACAATATATGGGGCTTTTCCTATCCATTCTGGTGATACTATAGGGATGGTCTATCACTGGGTTTACCGTCATGATGGCTCGGTGACCACCCCATTAAGCCCATGTCACTTGACCATATCACACAACCCAGGACTGAAAAGATTCGTCAAGAGGTTGACGATGTCCTTAGACGGCAGGCAGAGCAGAAAGCATGAACATCATCATTGTATTTCATTGTAGATAATCACATGGATACCGGTTTATATCAGGATATCCAACCATATGATCGGTTGCTGTCCAGTTTCTGTTCAAAACAGCTGTTTGGCAGCAGACCAATTCAAGGCATTTACTGTTTGCAGATCACCATATTGGCTTCACTTTTGCAGCGTGCCTCAACTCATTTGTTGTGACCCAAATAAAGATTGGCAAACTAAATCCAGAATTTGGGTGTAACTTATCCATGTTTACTGGTCGAGGGTCTGTGCAGATCAAGTATGTAAGTGGTATGCAATTGACATGTCTTGCTCCATGTGGATGGGCTAATACTAATACTATTTCAGTAATCACTCCAAATTGGCTCGATGAACATGGCCACAGAAAGTCTTCTATTTATATTATGTTCATCTTTATCCAGAATTTAGATTTGTTTATCTCAACCGATTGGTTGAAGGAAAGAAATTTCAGGCTTTACCGGTTTACCCCTATTTTTTTATGGGCAAATCCTAATGCTTTCCGGTCAAGATTTTCCATAGCCGTCATAGCCAGTCATAGCCTGCCCGAGCAGGGTACAGTGTTGGAGGAGATGGTGAAATCGGCCGAATCCTTTCCAAGGCAGTGGGGTGCTGCTTCGAAGGATTAAAACTGATCAAGAAATTACAACTGCTTGGGGTGATCCCCACCCACTCACATTCTATCTGACGAATATATTCTGACATTCATTCTATCTGGCATTCTATTTAGCCTGTTTGGCACCATATTTCACATATATTCTGACGTTCTATCTGACATTCTTTCTGGCATTCTATCTGACATCTGTGGCATGAGTTCGGGTCCAGGTGCCCTCCAGGGCATCCTGTGCTGGCGATTTGGGTTCGGGCAGAAGGAGAAGGCGGAGGAGCAGGTGGAGCAGAGGGAAGAAGGTGAAGGTGAAGGTGAAGGTGAAGGAAGGAAGGCAGGAGGAAGGAGTTGCCCCTTGGTTAAAATTTCTTAAAATCTAGAGACCCTCACCTGGCAGGTGAGCAAATAGGTGAGTATGGAAAATGTTTTGGCAGCTACGAAAAACAACTTTGGATTCTGGTTTTCAGAGCACATCATGGTGAATCCCCAGCAGTTTGTTTCTCCATTTTTGTGGCAGAATTTTTGGGATATTCCCAGCAACAAAAATAGAGAAACTCTGAAGAATTCGGGACTTAAGGAGTTGATGTCCACTGCTCATTAGTATAGTCATGCCTCCAAAGCCTCCAAAGTTTGGGTAAGTAATATGCAGCCCACTTTGACCAACACTTTGTTCGGCCTTCCGTACAGGCGGTGGGCTCAGTTTGAGTTGAACATCAGCCAACGTCCAAGTCTTAGATTGGGCTCTTGGGCCGTTTCCGCAAAGACCAGGCTGGCTGGAAATGAATCAAAATTAGGCAACTCGTACATTGATGTACATTGAAGTACATTGCTCATCAAAAAAAAGAGAGAAAAACCGACACTTCACTTGTCAGTGTAATTTGCTATTTTTATAGTTGCTCAATGTGGGTAAAACAATAATAAACCATAATAAATAAACCGCCCACCTGGGAATGGTTTAGATATATGATTATATGTTTATACCACCTATTTATGGTGATTTGGGGGTTGGTTTCTTATTGTTTTACCAACATGAATTGATTTCAGCCACCAGGATCTTCGTTAAGTGACCCTTTTGAGGTGGGAAAATCCCAGACGGCCGAGGCAAGTCTCTGTTGCTCAGCATTAAGGCGCGCCGGGGGAAGATGGGTTTGGTCCGAGACTTGTTGGTACACCAAAAATCCACGGCTTGGGATTGGCTATGCGATTTGATATATGGCTATGGATCAATACCTATAGATACAGTTTATTAGGGGATGAACATCCATTTACCAGCTATTTTGGGGTTCACTAGGTACCAGGGTTTTGACACACTGCCATATAATAATATTTTTTTGACAATGACAACAATAATAATAATACCGCTAATAATAACCATATGAATAATAATGACAACAATAATTATTATAATATATAGTAATAATGATAATGATTATAATAGTAATAATGCCAACATCGGATTAATCAACCGCCCCCCTCCCCCCCGCAAGGTCCCTGAATCCTCCCTAAATAAACGGCCCCCCTGATTATTATTAATGGGGGACATGGGCTCATGGGGGGTACCCTTTGGGAGCTATCCAAACTGATGATTTTTATAAAGAATTTAATTAGAAATCGATCATTTGGGGAATAGTAGTTTTTCAAATGTTCAATGATCAGCAGTGATGGGTTCTGGTGTTCATGTGGTTTCAACTTAAATATAGCATAAGGAAACCATAAGGAAACCATAAGGAAACCATTTGAAACTTTTGGATAAAACAAAACATGGATTTCAGCACTGGTGGTTGATTAATCATGTCCCAGCCAAATGGTTTATTAATCCTGGGGGACCACCTGTTTTTAAATTACAAAAAAATGAGCAGAGGGGGTTGATTAATACCGCGGGGATTATTAATCCTTTCTTGACATTCTTGATAATCATGGTAACAATGATAATGATAATAATAATATATGCGTGTATATACATATAATATTATATGATTGGAAAATACATGTTATATGACATATGATATGTGATATATGATATATGAGATGATATGATTGGCAATTCATCATGTGTTCTCTATATTCCTTTCATATACTCCCTATGATGAAATTTGCTCTTCGGAGTCATCAACTCTTCAGGTTGGTAGAGGTGAAAGCATCATGGTTTAATGATGGTGCAATGGTGTGTATTCGAGGCTGCATGGATGGAATATATTCGAACCCATGTGATGCTTCCACCAGGTGCAAAAACAAGTTTCAAAGCCTATCTGGAAGATCAAGCTGTGGATCTATATTTCTTTGGTGGTTTCAAATACGACGTGGTCATTACTGTTCCATCAACACTTGGGCTTTGATTACTGACTGACATTGATAGTTCGGGGATGACAGTGTTGATGAAAATGACATCCTAAAATTCAGGTTCATTTCTTAAATCCATCTTGTTCTTGCAACATCTCTGATTGTCTCAGTGTTTGTCGGTTAAGTCCACATTTGTTGATATGAGTGTTGCATCAAAATCTGAAATCTCAATGTTTGTGTGGCTTTGAATTTGAAACTCCGTTTTTCTATGGTACCCTCTGGTTATTTAACATAGCCATGATATAGATTGCCCATAGAAATAGATGGTTTACCTATTAAAAATGGTGGATCTTTCCATGGCTATGTTAAATAGCCAGATGGTAACCATGATGTAAAACTTGACAAAACACACCATCAAGGCACGAAGAGCGAGGGATCAAGCAGAGCGATGAGGTCACCAAAACGGGATGACGGGATGTCATTTTTTGTATATCAAATGGGGATCAAAGTGGGGAGATCAGTCATCTAAAGTCATAGTGCTGATATAAATATTATACATTATTATGATATGATATATATAATTACTTGGTTTAAAATACCATAAAAATATATAATAATCATAATATATTGCTGCTCGTACTTACTGTATAATTATATAGATAATATGACAAAGTAAAATTATTATATTATATTATTTTATATTATATTATATACTATCACAATATTATATATTATAATTTGTTTTAGCATAGTACTATGTAATATAATACAATATAAAATAATTTAATACAATATAATATATAGAATATCATAATATAATACAATATAACACATCATTTTGTTTATTATCACATAATGTATATGGTATAGTATAATAATATATAATGAATTATGATATATTAATAGCTATATATGTATACCATATATGATTACATATATCGATGTTCACTAGCCAGCTAGGAACACAACAAACAAACATGTTGGGTCTCAAAGATTAGTCATGTAAATGTTGGTATTAGCAGCAACAAATGACCAACAATTGGGATTCAACCGGCAAACACCGGGACATGTGGACGGCGATATCCTGAATGCTCGGTGCATCATAAATCCTGGGGGTTGACGTCTTGTAGTCTTGTAATTGTCCCATGCGAATGAACATATACCCATTGCACCCATGGTTTTTCTGTGGGACTCTCAAGAATTTCGGAAATCTAGGGTTTACCCTCGAGTAATCAAACATAGCAGATGCAAATAGACCATCCGTTATGTCCATGATTTTCTCATGAACATTATCACTGTTTGTCGGATACTGGTGCCCATTGCCCTGTTGGATTCACTAGATCATTGGTGGTCTTTTGGTAGGTGGGTACATGGTATTGGGCCGTAAGTGAGGGATTCACCATTTTTCTGTGAGCAACTGAATTGTTCATGAACAATTCCATCATTAAACAATTGTTGTTTTTTGTTACCCATGTTCCGTCGTTGAACAATTGAATGGTTGATTATTGCAGCAATTCAATTGTTTAATGATGGAGCATATAGGAGTGCAATCCTTTGTCTTTTGTATCCATGTCCTCGTCCGCATATTCAGTAGAGAAGGCAGAACACCATTTTTGGCCAGCAATCATGGGAAGTATATTTGGATGGGCGGGTCAAAACCATTGACTCCCTAAATTTGGATGGTTCAATACTAAAATTAGCCAGCCATTTTGGGGTCCATCGCTACCCCAATGTTGGACCAATACCCATGGCCACAGAGTCAATGAAGTCACCTACCAGAGGGGCATGACTAGAATGAACCAACCAACTCTGGTAGATGCAAGATGATGCAAGTAGGTGGCACCTCAATTTTACATCGAAAACTATCAAAACCCATGATTTCCCTAGGGTAATAACATGGTGGGGTTTCCACGTCTATGTCGATTTACAGTTCGATTTACCGGAGGGTAACTCTATATCATAGAGCTTTTGTAGTTGTATTGTTCAATGTCTCCAAAACTTGAGCATGGATGTGTTTACCATCCGGTAATCAACATGGCCATGAGAAAATATCATGTACTGTAAATGTGAATTTTGATTGGACAATAATTATTGATTGTACAAATAGAGGATTGTCTCTATTTAGTTTTTTATGGTTGATTGCTGGGGGGTAGAAGATGATACTTTTCCATGGTTCCCCGAAACGAATCCCCGAAACGGCTCATGCCAGATGTGTCCGTACCGCTGTGAGACCTACAGCGATCGATGTCGAAGACACCGGAGAGACCAAAATCTCACCGAGCTACTGTGGGAATGCAATGGATATATGGTGTGTTTTTTTTGAAAAATGCTATGGGATCTGTGTGGTTTGAAAGGTTTGGATGCAGCACGATGTAGCCCATTCATTTAAGTTGGACACAGTGGCTTTAGAATCGCGTGGAACGCTCCAGGCGGAAAAATGTGGTGCGGAGCCATCGAATAAATAAGCCCCCTTGGAAGTGGATCTTTCCATTTGGGGAATTTGAGAGGTCCAAGAAAAACTTGACCTTCAACCCAGAAACATTGATCATATATAGTCATCCCGGAGTCATCCCAAAAAGATCGAAAAGTAGACCCCTACTAATTTGATATATATAATTGATGATGATTATTATTATTATACTTGCCTGTCTTTTTGGGCTTACTATTTACTAATATATATATTATATATATGCTAAAATGCATAGTTGTGTTGCCCATGTCACTTCTTTGGGATTTTTGCACAGTTCGTCCCCAGTTGGTCATTTACTTAGGGCGATAAGAGGGTGGTCCCTGGATCTGCAGGACATCGTGAATGCTCCGGACATGGCCTGGTATTTCGAGCAGCTGGGGCAGCTGGGGTTTGGAGAACCCGTTTCATTTTGGGACTGGCAGGCCTTGTCTTGAAGGACTCGACACGTGGGAACGTGGTGTGATGTTTCTCTGGGGACGAAGACTAGAATGGTTTTTGGGCACTGCTTATGTCAAGATATGTCTGAATCTTCAATTTCCTGCCGTCGGGGCCTTCTATGCCACGTCTTTTTTTCGCGTAAGTTGTTAATCTGACTATCTCTTGCAAGAAGCTGATGCACAGTGCACTAGCTTCACAGCAAAACAGATACCCGTGGCAGCTTGGCTCGGTTGCAGAGCCAATCCCAATAATAGGACCCCAAGAATGCCTCTAGAGAATAACTGGTACTTGTAGGTGGTTTGGTGTAGTTTGTATTCTTGTTCCTCCCAAGTCAGAATGAAAAATACAGTACAAGAAGACAATATCCATCATCCAGCTGATGACGGGTACTGTTTTTGGGTGAGGTTGAAACTAGCAACCTGTCGACCTACATGGGTTGACATGGTTTGAAGACGGGTACCCCGAAGTTCGCAAGTTTTTTGAAGATGTGTTTGCCTATTCACATTGTTGCTTTGGTGGTATCTATACCCTCCGGCCAACTAACACAAATGTGGAAAACTCACCATAGATGTATATAGATCATGTTCCGAACAGGTTTCTCCAGGGGTTTTCCACATCTTTTTGTTTGACGTCTATCCCAGGGCAGTTTCCCAATGTTCAAATCCAGAACCAGCTGAAAGGTCTGAAAGTTCCAGAACAGTCCTAGCTGTGTGGCCCAGCAGTATCCAGTCATAGTCATGGCATAGACATAATGTGACAAGCAATAAGATACGAATGCAAACACACAAAACTGGAATAGCAAAAACAGAATTTGCAACAGCACTGTAGACATCTGTATACAAACACAGCACATTAATATTCATCTGTAATCACATTACTTACAAACATTTCATCTGCGAAATCACATGAAAATCATCCCGTGATATTCACTTCTGTAATTGGAGCCGACGGAATGGTGCCGCGCTGCTGGCATGAATTGGTGACGTGAACCAGTGACCCCCTGTATAGAAACCACCATAAAGGTAGAACTAGTTCAATGAATTAATGTATATAGTTTGCTTAGTAAACTTAATCTATACCAGTAAGTTATACCATTAATTTATATCAACAAGTAATTTATACCGTTCGTATGATGTTTCTGCTCTGCCTTTTTTGAGGGGTGCTGGAAAGCATCAATTCATGGGGCCAGGTCCTTCGGCGAGGACGGGTTGAGATGTGGCTGACAAGGGTAGAGCTTCCCAGGTTTTGAAAATCATACCTTACCTCGAGTGATCCCCGCCCTGACACACTATTCTGACATAGTTTCTGACATATCATTTGGAAGTGTATAATATATATATATATATATTAATGTATGTATATATACAGTATATATGTATAGGCATATATATATATGTATATATATATATATATATATTACATATGTTCTAACATTCTATCTGACATTCTTTTTTGCATTTTTTCAGGCTTTGATTCTGGCCTTCTCTCTGGCATGAGTTCGGGTCCAGGCGGTTCGAGATGACATCAAGCAGCCGTAGGGAGTGAGGAGGAAGCGAAAGAAGTAGGCAAAGGAAGTAGGCAAAGGAAGTAGGCAAAGGAAGTAGGCAAAGGAAGGAAAGAAGGAAGGAAGGAGGAAGGAGGCTGGGAGTCAGGGAGGCAGGGAGGCTGGGAGGCTGGGAGGCTGGGAGGCAGCGAGCGAAGGATCTAGAGACCCTCATCTGGCAGGTGAGGAAAAGCATATTTTTATTGGTGCAAAATGATGGTAAAATGATGGTAGCATGATGGTAAAATGGTGATAACACCACCAAATGGATCGTTGAAACCCTCAAAATACTGGGATGTATTGGGATGTTGACCACCTATTGAAACTGTAAATCAGTTGCTCGCAACCATCCACATGTATTTTGCTGGATTTTTGTTCGGGTGGACTACTTTTAGACAAAGCCATACTGATGCTCCATGTATTGAGCATGACTTGTGTAACATTATTCTATATTCCAAAAATGGCTCGGTGATGTAAGTACATATGTTCATCTCTTTTGACCTTGGTGATGTCCCTTGGTGATGTTTGTTGGTTATAACTTACAACCCTGATGAAACATGGAATACAATATACTCTATATATTTCACATATATAATTTATCTAAGTTCAAGGTAGGTGCTTGATATCCAGCTATAAGATAGGTACGCTACGCTTGGTGCGCTTGGTACGCTTGGTACGCTTTGGGTAGGTACGCTTGGTACGCTTAGTAAGGTACGTTTGGTACGCTTACCAACCGTACCGACCGTACCGACCGTACCAGTGAACCGTACATAACCGTACCACCGTACCGTACCAGATTAAGGGGGGGGTCAGGGGGGGGCGTTGTGGTACGGTTATGTACGGTTCACTGGTACGGTCGGTACGGTCGGTACGGTTGGTAAGCGTACCTTACTAAGCGTACCAACCGTACCAACCGTACCGTACCACATGTACCAACCGTACCGTACCAAGAAAACCAAACCTACCAGCCGTACGTACCAGACATGTTTGGATCTTACTTAAGGCCTCTACCACCTATCTTGAACCTAGCTAATATATAATTACCATAGACCCTAGCTACTAGTGGAATTATAAACCAACTTTGCTAAAGAACTGGGGCACCACTGTATATGTCTTGAGCTCCTCCTGCCGCAGTACCCTCGTGGATTTGTGGTTCAAGACGGTGTTGATCGCACTCTTCAGGACATTTGAGAAACGCAGGGAGAGTGGCTTGGGCCACATGGACATTGCTGGCTGACTTGAGGATGAATTACAAAATCCACCATTTTTAGGTACTATATTACTATATAGACAATTTTCCCATTAAAATATGCATTTGTAGAAATTTTCCAGCCAGCCACGGTTGATGACCAGAGGGTAATCATTGGGATTCACTCAAGCCCCCCTAAAGGTAAAACCTCGAATAATAAGCGATGTGCCATCTATCATTGGGGCGGTTCACCTTTAGGGGTTGGATAAATCCCCGCGGAATGACATGAAGAATGAAAGAAGTTCCAGGGACAGGAACATTTTGCACGTCCCACACCAGATCATCAAGGTAAACATGTGTATATATAAGTATGATAATAATAATTAATAATCATCATATATATATATATACGCGTAATTACATATACATACACCGTGACCATTGGCATCAGCGCCAGGATCAGAGAGGTCATCCCCGAGCTGCACAGCCTGCCCCAGGCGATAGTATGAGTGGCACCGTGCCTTGGAGACTGAGCTTTGAAATTGGGTCTGGGATAATTTGCGATCATCTGGGACAATCTGGGATAATTTGCGATCATCTGGGACAATCTGGGATAATCTGGGACAATTTTGGATAATTTGAGATAATCTCAAATAGTTTAAGATAATCTGGGACCATTTGAAATAATTTGCGATGATCTGGGACAACCTGGGATAATCTGGTACAATCTGGGATAGTTTGCGATCATCTGGAACAATCTGGGATAATTTGCGATCATCTGGGACAATCTGGGATAATCTGGGACAATTTTGGATAATTTGAGATAATCTGGGACAATCCAGGATAATTTGAGATAATCTGGAACAATCTGGGATAATTTGAGATAATCTGGGACAATCTAGGATAATTTGAGATAATCTTGGACAACCTGGCATAATTTGAGGTAATCTGGGACAATCTGGGATAATCTGAGATAATCTGGGACAATCTATTATAATTTGAGATAATCTGGGATAATCTGAGATTCTGAGACAATATGTAAGTTTACTAAAGATGACACATCAAAAGCGTACTATCAAGAACGTTATCACGCCCCCCCACCCCTCCCAACCCCCCTCCCACCGCCACAAGCAACAAACGCAAGTAGCAACATGTATGTCACAAGTACAACACTAAACGCATCTTCATCTTACACAACATCAATGTAGGGCCCCGAGTCATGTTCAAATTTCAAAAATGTGCAAATTATGAGGGCCCCGAGTCCCCGTGTGACCTATAACAGTGGTATATGTCATGTACAGTTAGAGTATAATATATATATACATATATATATGATCAATATATGTATATACACATTATATTATATATATGATGTGTGTAAATACATACATATGTATATATATATATATATATATTTGTCCACATATATCCACCAATATTCACCCTTGATGCTCCTTTCATCCCCCCAAAGAAAACTCATGAATCACGTCCGGTCACGGTGTTTCGGTGCCGAGGTGGAAGCTGTGACCTGGCAAGAGGCCGGGTGCGGGCCCTACTATTTAGTATATGGATGAACAAACAAACACTAATAAACATGGGATGAGTATTTGGATGATAGACGGATTTAAGAAAAACCACGGATCCTAAGTGGGATGCACATCCAGAGTAAACTAAGATAGATGTGGAAAAACAATGGTTTCCCTAGGAAAGTGATCTACACATGGTGGGGAAACGACATCTATATTAGGTTACAGTAGGGTATCTGTGCTTCTTAAGTACATTGTCACCTCCAAAAAAAATATAATTTTGGCAAAATGTGACTCGAAGATAGTGTTAAATCAATGTTCGGCATCCTTTTGGGGTTAACATATTGTTATTACATGTTCTTCCACTCTTTATATACATATATATATATATATATGTAGTTGGCTGGCGGCTGATAAATGACCGCCAGCTTTTTGGCTATTTTTATACTTTTATCCTCTCTTGTCTTGTGGGGTGGGGTGAGGTGGGGTGGGGTGGGATAATAACGTCATGTCTAAGTGCGTTTCACACGTACTTGCCCCATGGTCGTCACTGCCTGTTGGGTGGGGTGAGGAGGGGTTTGGTGGGGTGGGGTGGGATATTAACGTCATGTCTAAGTGCGTTTCACACGTACTTGCCCCATGGTCGTCACTGCCTGTTGGGTGTGGGGTGGGGTGGGGTGGGGTGGGATATTAACGTCATGTCTAAGTGGTTTCACACGTACTTGCCCCATGGTCGTCACTGCCTGTTGGGTGGGGTGAGGAGGGGGGTGGGGTGGGGTGGGATAATAACGTCATGTCTAAGTGCGTTTCACACGTACTTGCCCCATGGTCGTCACTGCCTGTTGGGTGGGGTGGAGGGGTGGGGTGGGGTGGGGTGGGATATTAACGTCATGTCTAAGTGCGTTTCACACGTACTTGCCCCATGGTCGTCACTGCCTGTTGGGTGGGGTGGAGGGGTGGGGTGGGGTGGGGTGGGGTGGGATATTAACGTCATGTCTAAGTGCGTTTCACACGTACATTACTTGCCCCATGGTCGTCACTGCCTGTTGGGTGGGGTAAGGAGGGGTGGGGTGGGGTGGGGTGGGATATTAACGTAATATTCGAGTGCTGGAAATTAACTTCCAAGAGGCTCTTGATGCTACGTCCTTCACGTCGTCAAGTATCTTCCAAGACGCTCTTGATGCTACGCTCTTCACGTCTTCAAGTATCTTCAAGACGCTCTGAAAGCTACGCTCTTGACGTCTTCAAGTAACTTCTCAGAGGCATTCCTCGTCATTTGTCCCAGGTCGCTGGCACACAATGCATTGATCGCCATTGGCGCAGTCTCAAAGAATTTATTGGCCCTGCTTTCCCTCGCAAAATGAAGGGACAATTTGGTTCAAAGCTTCACACAGGGTCAATGTGCTTGTGAAGCAATGGTTGTACAGAATGTGGTCTAAGTCTTCTTCTCCCAAAGATGTGTATACGAAGTTGACTCAAATCCTGAAGTGAAAGAAAGACATCTACTTGGAAATGTGAAACATGAAATGAAAAAAACAAGTAGTTCGAAGCTGGATTTGGAAGAGTCAAAAAACGCAGCAATAGACAAAACAACTGGTAAAAACCAGGCGAAATCAACTAGCGGTGGTTGGAAAAGCAGGCGGTCGTCTATCAGCCGCCTACCATGTAGTTTTTCCGTTGTTAAAAAACCGTGTGCTAGCATTATTCCATTCTTATTACTTCTATGTTTATTCCAATTCTTGTCAACAATGTTACTACTTTTCCTCAGTAATTTAGATTAATTTAGTACTTTGCTATTCTTTAGAACTATGATTTTGACCAGTAATTGCTTTCATTATTTTGCCTTTGGCCGTCCTCCTGGTTTGGTCTATTCCTCTATTCCACCAGGTGGAGAGACGCCTGTTGCTGCTCCACAACCAGTCCCTCAGCCAAGATCTGGCAGAGAAACTCTGTGTGGCGTGACCCTTGATTTTGTTGTCATTCACTGCGTAATATGTGCCATGCTTCACAAATCCATATTAATCAGTTGTATTTTAGTCCTTTGGGATTGACACAGTCATTTGAGTCATTTGTGGGTTCCCACTATATATAATGGAATGGATGACTTTAACCCACCATGTTTTGATCATGAACCATATGGGTTCGGTGACACCGGGTATCCCATCGACGAGACTGATAAGATGTGGATCATCCTTGCAGTATCTGTGCGATCCATGGATGGTCTTTACTGGTCAGAACATTTCAAAAGTAGACCGTTACCCTAACTATCCCATTTGATATATATTTCAATTTACGTACATCGAGACATAGTCCTGCATCTGGATACTTTTAAAACTAATCATCAGTATTTTTTAAACATCATAAATCAGTATTTTTAGTATTGGTGATGTTTAAATAATACTGATTTATGGTCCATCTGGTGGGAACGGATTAGCACATCCAGGGCCTCCCTTTAGAGCCTCCAGATCTCGGGCCTAGTGTCTTTATACAAGGTGAATGGAGGTGATACAGCAACAAAAAAACTGGGGATCACCATCACCAAGCCATGTATACACGCATTCACTTGATTAACTACACTATATATAATTATATATATATGTATATAATATCTATAATATATATGTAATATATATATATATATATATCATAGACCATAGTATATGTTTTTTAGCAATGTTATAAAATGTTATAAACCAGTGCAGAGGATTTCTTAGTGAAAGCTGTCATTTCCTGTCCAGGCCTCGCTCAGCGTTGGCGCAGGCCTTGGCCGAGGCTGGGGCCCGGTGTCTACCTTGACACTTTTTAATCATTTGGTTATTTAACATAGCTATAGACAATGACCTGATGATATATTTGTATAGTTAATAATATATATATATATATAAACATATCATAGCTAAAATTTAACATAGCTATACGTATATATATATATACATATGGTAAACAATGGTATACATGATTATGTACAATATTGAACATGATGACTATCCATAGGTTAACAACCACATGGTATTCATCTTGGAATAGATAAAATATGTTGTTTTTCAAATATATTCCCATTTGACTCCGTGTTGTTTTTCGACATTTGCATGTAAAAAAAACTACGCCAGGATGACTGTACAGAATCACATGATCCGATCCAATACTACGACATCTACGACCCAAGAATTTTATATTACGACAGTAGGGGAATGGAATCAATGGAATGTCAAATGTTTTCAAATCATTTTAAATCCAGTGTGTATTGAAATTTTGCCGTGTTGGATGGATAGAAAGATCGTGACGTATCTCTGCTTTTTGTACATTGCGGTTCACCCCATTCATGCATACCACTGTGAACCATGGCAGGTTCCTTCCAGAAACAATGCCCTTTGATGGTGGCTCATATGGGTTTCTCTGAAAATAGCATACCCCCAAAGAAAATCCATGGTTTATCAGCAATTCTCCTATGAGTATAGCCATGTGGATCCATTTAGCGAGGTATACCCTATCTTCAGACCCCCTATTGTGGGCTGCAAACTCGCTCCACAGTGCTATGTGAAAAAAATATCCCACGCTTTCAGGCATGGAGAGTACTGTTGTGCAGACGACGCTATGCAGCGTGATTTGGCGATGGTGAGATCTCGAGCTCCAGAAAAGTCCGTTGCGTTGGCGTTGTGTTCTATCATTAGAATCTATTTGATATTTGTGCACCATATCATTATTATAAGTATTATACTATAACCTTCTATACATATATATATATATTTGTTTTTTACTGGGAAATTCATTCATCTCACTCAAGTGTTTTATGGTGCAACACATTGCAAAAAAACACAGCAGGAATGTGCAACTCACAGGCCTTGAAGATCACGAAGTTTCTGGCTGAATTCATAGCTTTTTTTTGCTTGGCGCGTTGTTTTTGTTGTAAAGGGAACACAGAAATCACATCAAATCACCAAGAATCACTAAGAAATTCATGTTAGCCTAATTCCAGTTGGAGCTGTCGGACCAAGTCTACAGCGTAGAGCATGCTCCATGCGCGTTGCAATGGCACATTTCTGCCGCCTGATTGCAATTTCGACCCTATGTTAATTTCGAATGGCTATGACAGGCATCTACCGAGCCATTTGGGTACGACAAACAATGATGGACTCTCAAGCTGCCAAATCCAATAGTCTTAGCGAGTCCTATAAGAAACAATGGAATCACGGAGTTTCAACCCATTCGCAACCTATTCTTAGGCCTTAGGGTTCACCTTCGGGATTTTGCTGTATCGGACACACCTTTAGAAGGACAGGCAACGCAAGCAACCAAGAATTACCTGAAGACTTGAGTTTGACACAGTTTGACCCATCATAGAATCTTGCAACATCCTCCAACCTGAATCATTTTTTGGGCAGATATCACGTACTGTATGATATGGTACAAGTCATTTCCCAGCCCGAAATCATGTTTCTCAAAAAGTTACATTCTACAAAATTACACCGGGCAAGAGACCCCAAGCAGTGTGGGGGTAGGAAATCATAGGAGATACAGGCAACGGTAGCTACAGGCTGTACGGAAAGAGTATAGAAGATCCATCATCTTTCTCAAAAGTTCCATTCTACAAGAGTCTAGGAAATAATAGCAGTCCCATGGATGGTTCAATCACACCACTTGACAGATTTTTTTGGGGCAAAACCCTATGACCTTGGTGATCCTCCGTGAACATTGAAATAGCTGGTGGATGTTCATCCCCCACATGTTCTATATATATATGTACTGATCCATCCTCATCGGTAGTTCTATAAAGTTGTCCGGTGAACTTGCGGTTCCTGTCGACTTGGACCTTCCAAGCAGCCGAAAAGAGTGGTGAAAGTCTCAAACTCATGGGTAGAAGTCCCAAAATCATGAAGGCGAGTCTCAAAATCAAGGGTATACTGTGATATATATATATATATATTATAGAACAACATTGCTAGCAACTTGGAGGGGTCAAACGGGATTTTCCATGATTTTCCCACCTCTTCAACTCTTGCCCACGCAGTGAGGTACCGATGGTTGCCATGGCTCCTGGGCCACAACGGCTTCAGCCGTGGAGCAAAGATTAAGGCGCGGAAAAGATGGGGTAAATGAGGCCCCAAAAAAGTCAGTTGAAACACCAGTAATGTGGGTAAAACCATGTCATAAACCACCCCCCAAATCACCATTTTTATAGGTTGTATAAACTTATAAACCATTCTCAAATGGTTGGTTTATTATTGGTTTACCCACATTAAACTACAAGTTTGCTACGGAAAATCGCCTCTGAAATAGGTGATTTACAAGTGATTTACCTTTTGTGAAGTGGTAGCTTTCCAGACAAACCCAGATGGGCAGGGTGCGGTATGGGTAGAGTTGTGTATACCTGTAAGGGTTGGCTGCAAAATCTGCCAAACATCAATGGCATACACGACCATACCCAGTACCCAGGATTCCAATACCTGGCAGTTCGAGTTGTGATTTATTGTGGGTGGTGGCTTGTGCCCTTTTTGTGATACACAGCTGTCCCCAGTTGTTCCAAACAAATTTAAGTGAATGACGATAGCCCATTTGAGCAAAATACTATAGCATGATAGGCAGATCAGATTGGGAGGACATCCCGTGAACCACAAAATCCCTGGATCCTAAACCGAGTTGTGGACAGCTTGAGGCGATCAAGAGCGTGCAAACCCTCTATGACCGGAAGAAGCAAAAGTTCCACCGGGAGGTGTGAAGACCACAAGTCACTCATACTGGGGGTATATAGGGAACCCCCAGTGATGTTTCAGTTTATAACATGTTTTTATAAACCAAATTGGCCCTAGTATATATATATATATTATACAGTATATATATATTCTACCATATAGATCCTAGATCCATCTAGATCCTATAGTCCTAACATTGTAAAGCTGCTCAGGCCTTTGAGACGTCGACGGATCCCATCATTCAGTCTCAGATGTACACACCGGAGGCGTCGATTGCTCGGCCTTTTAAACCATGGGGGATACCATGGGATAGCCAAAGTTGCCATTAACAAATAGGGAAAATGACGATAAACATATATAAATGATCAATGATAATCATGATGTCATCTGAAAAGTTATTATGACATTGATAGATCAAATAACTGGCATCTGAAATATAAATGATCAATGATAAACTTAGGTCTATTTTCAGATGCCAGTTATTTGATCATCCCTGTGGAAGGAATTGGACATAATTGGACTGAAACCACGACGAGTTGAGAGGTGTGACTCAACCTCCAACCAGCTGGGACAGGCACTTAAGACGATGAACTTGAGCAGACTCTGCCACTACCTCGTGGTCAAGGGCCCCAGGGGTTTGAGGGGCAGCAATTCGGTCAACCTTGGACGGGTAGTTTATATAATCCTCTATTTTTTTGGCTATATTGAACTGGAATATCTACTAACCAGCCAACAATTTGTTTTCGGCAGGGTATCTAAGATTGCCAATATTATAATATGTATACATCATTATACATTCATATAGTTCGAACAAACAAGTCCTTGTATATAGAAGGGATGGATATGTGTTTTTAATTATGTAGTGGTATACTTACACGATGATATCTTATAATCTGATATATGATATATTTCAGGCCAGAGGTCTTGGAATGACGGATGTTCATTTTCCTTCACCAGCGCTCGCTCATTCGTTGATCTTGAAGGATCCCCGCCATACCCCCAACTGTGGTGCAGTTTTCAGGTTATTTCTAGGCATTTAAATTATGATTTAAAGCCCCGAAAGTCGTTGGGAGCGAGCCACGCCACTCTCGGGATCTGCCTCAGTCCTTTGGGCTTCAGACTCCTGAGTTGCCACCTGGACGTGATGGGTGGGGCCTTTGATGGCCTTCGATCTAAAAGTGCGGCATGATATTTGGTGAATCACATGATATTTGGGTGCTTTAATCCACTGATTTGGTGATTAATTTGCTAAAAAGTTTGTGGATTAAAGCACCCCACTTTCAATCAGCACTGGTGAAATCCCATGAAATCCCCCAAGAACTGAGCCCAGTGAAGGCTCCAAGTGAGAGTGACGCCCTGGGCTACACGTCTTGTTTAAAATATGATGGGTATGGGTTTGTCTCCAAATGTGATATGTATACCAGTATATAAACCCCCAAAATGACCATTCAATACTAGGGAAAATGATGAGTGACCAGATCAGACAGACCCATCTATACATTTTTTGATCATTTTTGATCGACAGGAATCCCAAGCAAAGCAGTACCTGCAGAGATGGAATCACAAGGACAATGACCAAAGTTGTCGGACCAAACCAGCCACCACTCTGTGAATATTTGGCTGGGTTTCAAGAACTGGGCTTGGAACATAAAAGACAATGATGCAATCAATGTTCCTCTTGAAAATGGCAATGCTTCTTGGTTTCCATTCTAACTTTGTGAGATGTACAGTAGATTTCCATGCGTTGCCTCCACTATACTTAGATGGCCATGGAGTTGGTTGACTGATTAAATTGGTTATAATTTACCATTGGGAGTGTCGTGTGTTATACCCCAGCTACGGAGAAGTTATATCAACTTAGTATACCCGACTATATCCATCTATATGCCACTCCCATACTCCCACTATTAATCCATATGCTTCGCATCAGTGTAATTCCTTGGGATTACTGAAGCAACGCCAGTCATGGTGACCTGGTGATTTGCCGGATTCATCATCATGGTTTTAAGTACCCCAGCTGGTTGCTGGTTGAATCACCATTGCCATTTCATGCCATTTACATATGTATATATAATTATATATGTATATACATAGAAAAAGATGTCCATTCCTTCATCCCCAATCTCCACCTTCGCATATTTCTAAGGTTAGAGGTGAAATCCGTTTGATCCGCCCTAAGGATGGACAGATACGCGGCAAGGGCTGAAGAGTTGGCTGCTAGCTTGGACTCAGAACAGTGGCTGGGCAGAAGAACTCGGTGGCTGGGATGGCTGGGATGGCTGGGTGACGGCTCTAAGGATGTTCGTAAAGCAATAGGATCCACCATCCATGTCATCCGCAATTTTAAGAATGGATGGTATAAATCTAAGCAAGATATTAGGCTGGTTTAGGACATTGCTTTACTGACATGACATTGGAAGATTTATAACGGTTAGGATTCAGCGAATCATCCCCAAATGGCTGTGTGACAACAGCTATTTTCAGGTTAGTGAATTACTATAATTCAGCCAGCATAATACATGGTGATTTAGCTAGCAACAATGGCATGCAATGGGTTTCAACCAGACCCCAAGGAGGTAACCATCCAATTGGGTTTTGGTGGGTTTTAACCTACAAATACAGGGATTTAACATGATTTAACCATCTGACATGGGTACAAATGGGTATTTTGAATGTATATACTATATATATATATCATACGTTTATTATTACATTTTTATTGTATATATATATATATATATATTAATAATAATAATAATAACTCTGGTTGGTGGTGTTCCAATCTTCTTTATTGGAACAGCCGTTCTCAAGGCCAGAAATAGCATGAGAATCACGGGAGGATCCGAGCCTCCAGCTCCAATATCCGCTGTGATTGGAGCCCATTTCGCTGAAATCCATGGATGTACCTCCAGAATCTCCAGATGTATTGGCGAACTGATGTTGAGGGTAAATTAGTGATACCGGTGAGGCTTTTTTTTGTTCCGAGTTCATTTTAACTGTTGTTGGTATGCATGTGGATGTAGATCAGCACACATACACACACACACATCGATGCGACAACATCAGCTTCTGAAATTTACGCATTGTCAAAGCATGCGCTTCTGTAATCTGTGACAGCCCAATATAGGTGGATGCTAAGGGCTAACCATCAGCTTGTGAAAGTTGCCCAAGATGGTTGTCAAAGCTTATTCTATATAATATGCGACAACCCCACAAAGGTGGATGCTACGGGCCACCACCACAATGTAATATCCAAGGCGCTCAGCTTCCAAAGTCTCGCCCTGCCACCTACAACTCTTGCGCCTGCCACGCTGTTTTCTACTTCCCCACTTCACGGGTGTGATTTGTATGGGCCTGCCAATGCAACGCACATGCAACACACATGCAACACACATGCAACACACATGCAACACACATGCAACACACATGCAACACGCAGCATTTTCCCTGTAAATTTCCAAGCAACGTGGCCGCGGGGGCAAAAATCTACACTTTCCATTCTAAGACCGGAGTTGGGGCTGCAAACGTCAAATCCTGCACGTTGACTGTAAATTTACAGGTAAAAAGCTCATGTTGCATGTCGTGTTGCATGTGTGTTGCATGTGTGGTGCATGTGCGTTGCATGGCAGGTGTGCAGGATAGAGCAGTCACGCTCTCAAAGTGGCGCGCCTGCCACGCAGAACGACAGCCAGTGCACCCCACGACATTGCGGAATCAGGTCAAAAAGGTGTCAAGACTGTCGCTGCATGTATTTCACTTAGCACAACCCATATTAGCACATATGCGCCCCCGCAAGCAAACAGCCACACCCACACACAAACACCCGCCCAAACTGATCCCGATGCTTTCTCTGACACAGTGTCGTCATCATTCTCGCGTTTGTCTGCAGCCATGGGTCCATCCTATTGTGTCTTTTCTGAGTCCGGGTTCTTCAAAAAAAACAGCCATCCCATGAAGTACCACACCACAGAGGTCATGCCCCCCCCGTCCCCCAATTCAATGTTGTCTTCTGAAGTTTGTGTTTGGCGGCCTTCAAAAAAAACAGCCATTTCTGTTGATGATGCTCGGCACTTCCGATCACAACATTGAAGTTGGGGGTTGCGGGGGTAAGCAGGGTATCTCTGTGGTTTCCTGTGGATGGCTGTTTTTTTTGAAAAACCCGGTAAGTCTCCATTTGCACCCATAGAATATGAATTCCATTGGCTTCAGTAGTAAAATGATCTATATTAAATCTATATACATTCATGCTTGGTTTTGCATGCGTTGATTTACTGGAGGGTGCCATTCCCGCAACTAACATATTTCGCAACCCCTGAAAAGGTTGAGGAAACATGATTTTTACAGCTATATCGGACTTTACTTTTCTATCTTTTTGTGGGTTGCTGTGCGCCCTGAGATTGCCAAGTGTTCAATGGTTTTATATAGTAGTTCTCCAGCCCCCAATTCATGGCAGGTTGATAAACGTAGTTGGGAGATGGCACATTTTATCAAATTATCAAACAAAAAGGATATGAGTCGGTCAAACATCAAGACCCAACAAGCTGCTGATTTTGAATCTATTATTAATCATACGTAGTAAGAGCATCTTACTTTGAGGTACCCAATTCAGAGCAGTACCCACATGAAGAAAAACATAAGAGTCTCGCAAAGAAATACGAAGCCTTGCGCGAAGTACTATGGGGCTACCCCAATTATTTGAATGAAGACGAATAAAGAGACGGAATGGTGAGACCATGGTGATACCCCAACTGTTCGAAGTTCACCTTTTGTGTAACTTGGACCAGAACTTATCCATAAAAGGGTGGTAAACGCACCAAAAAGTTTGGGTAAATTCCATGGAAGGCCTTGACTAGATCATGAAGATATGATAAGTCTTCTTGAAGACATAAAATGCATAATTATACATATAATTGGGAACTCAAGATGTAAATGATAGATTGAGGATTGAGCCTGACACAATTGAACCTCGATGCAATGTAAGAATTGGTGACAGATTGACAGATCTACAATTGTTGGGGTAACAAACCCATTTCTGGAGTGAGTTGAAGTGATCTTGGAGGGGTCTCCATGGTGCAATAGCCCAGTTTTTGAAGGTGCGTCATGATTTTTCAGAGTTTTCATTTGTGCAAAATATTCAATAATTATTGTCGTTTTCCATATGTTGTCGGGTATGTTTTTGTTTGTGTTTTTGATGATAATGTTTGAATCATTGAAGCTTTCTTATTATTGACATATCCTTTTCCCATATGTGTTTTTGATGCGCAATATGTTTCCAATTTGTGATACTTCAATTTGCCCTAATATTTTTTTGGTGAAAGTGTGCGATTTAGCCTGGGCAAATCCGGATAGCTTAAGCTGTCCCATGTGTTTCGGAGAATTTGTTGCGAAATCCCCAGTTTCGACCCAAGTTTTGCCCCAAATGCTGGCTGGTTGAACATGATAATATCACCATTCCCCAGGTTGGATCCCATTTGTGTTCAGAAGCCCTGTTGCTTGAGTAGTAGTTCAGGGTTCATATTACCTTTCTTGTATTGGTTATCATCAATTTTTATTTCATGGAATGACAGAGGTCTCCAAAGTTTTCTCACTCAAGTCTTTGGTCTTTTTCGGTGACTGGATCCCCAGTTGCACTGAGGTTCGCCTTAATCCTCAATGCAATGAGTCGAGCCTCTCATCGTCACGACGGAGTCTGCCAGCCAGTGGGGAAAAAGGATGCCCTCAATTTACATGTGGGACCCCATATACATATAATCATATATATATATATACCCAGTATTTATATATATATATATATATGTATTGAACCTAGACTTTGAATTTACAAATTTGTGTGTTACGCCATGTTCTTTGGTGTTTGTTTATCCATTTGGATTGGTAGAGTGAAGATCTAGGGCCCTAGGGATATCTCAGTACGAAGATAGTCCACCATCACTCTGGCGTTGCATATGCATCCTGCCTTTTGTCCACACATGGGAGCTATAAGCCCTGCCCAAATGATGGTTTATTATGGTTTATGGCATGGGGTTTACCCCATACATATCCATTTACCTGATAGATATGGAACATGCACCATGAATACAGATCATGTCCTGACGAAACCATGGTTGTTTTCCGATGTTTTCCGTAGTGTTTTGTTAATTTACTCCAGCTTATATATTTGTTTATTAGGAATGGCCTTTTGATTCAGAGCTGTTTGGAATTGAGTATAGTGAGTTGGGGTTAATTCTGATTTCAACTTGCAAGTTCTTGTTTCTTTTAAATACACCTAGGGTTTATCATCATGGTTTCCCATTTTTCCGTCCGTCTAGTTATCTTATACATCTTTATTCGCACCAATCTCTACCAAAGCCAATCGTTGTTGGCCGTGTGTCGCCAGATGCTGCAAAGCTTCAGCAAGCGGATGCTCCCCAAGTTGCCATTGTTGGGCAGCACGGCAATGGAGATGTCAACCTGCCATATCCACGTGGATGTTGACTATTGCACAAAATACAAACAAAAATCATACATTTGAGATGATTCAAGCCTCAAGCATATCTATAGGCATATTTGGGAGTCTCTGAAAATAGGGGCCCAAAAGCGCCATGTCAATTCGACAAAATGATGATTCACCAGTCGATGGGTGTTTTCCTGTCTCCAGTTGAGGGCTGTTGTGGAGGTTTTTGACATCCATCAATTGATTTATCAAAAGAACGTACCCTCTAGGAAACTAGCCTATCTATGACAACTTGGCCCATTTATAGATGATTTACCTCTTCAAAAATGATGATTGTCCATAGTTATGCAACAGATTGCCAGTGGGTAACCAATCAGATGCGATTGCATCCCCATGTGTTGATGGTTAAACCATGTTAAACCACCATTTTTCCACAGTTTCCATTAGTTTTCATATTTTTCCCATAAATCCCCCCATGAAATTAGCCTTTTTCAGGGCTTTCATGCGCTTTTAGCCATGCTAAAAGCGCTTCAAATCAGGTTCATCCCCCGAGATTTGGCACGTGTGTGCCTTGCCTATGCCAAGTTGCAAGAGCGTGACGAGGTGCGCCGCACGACATCGCACGACAGCAGCACTTGTTGAACCCCCGAGGACTCTGTGGAGTTCTCAACAAGTCGTGCTGTCTTTTTCTTTGCGTGTGTTAATGGGGATCGATATTTCATGTTTACATAATATGTTTAATTACTGTATATAGATTGTTATAGATAATTATATAATGGGGATATTTGATGAGGATGTTCATTTAAACATATTTGAACAACTATGGGGATTGTCATGGGATAGTACTTAGCACATACATTATATTATATGACAACACACCATGGATCAGGGGATCAGCCAATGACTCGACCCATGACAGAATCCATGCAGAACTGACCCAATGAATCAATGAGTCAATGAATGTATGAATTGGTGAGTCGGTGGATCAAAGATGAATTTTTGTGAACTAGTGAGCCGATGAATCAATGAATCAATGACGGAGTGAATGAGTGAGTCGATGAATCAATGAACCAGTGAATCAATGAATCACTGATTCAGTGATCAATGTTCTCATGAATCAATGAAGCAATGAGTGAAGGGATGGATGGATGGATGAATGGATGGATGAATGGATGGATGGATGAATGGATGGATGGGCGAGCTAGTTTTCTTAATTGAGCTGCTTCTTCACTGAGACCTCTTCGCTAAGGCACCTCTTCTCTCAGCCACTTCTTCTCTGAGCAGCCACTTATCTGGGCTACTTCTGCTCCGAGCTGCCTCCCAGCTCGCTCTTTTGTAGCTTCTGCAACCCAAGTCTTCTCGTCGCACAGCTGCAATGCGTGTAGCAACCTCCAGCTGCAATCCTTCTTGCCAGGAGCGTCGCAACATCACTTACGCTTTGGTGCTCGCAGCCGTGCCAATATGTTTTGTCACAGCCGGTTGCATGCCCGCATAGCAGGAGCCTGGCGACCCCAGGAGCCACAATACAAGAAACAACGCAGGGTTTCGCACCGCAACTGTTTTCACCGGTGGATTCACACGCTTCGGAACTGTAACACTTCCCAACTACTTGATGATGGGCGGCTGACATGATGATGGGCGGAATACTAGCCATGACAACCGTCGGTAACTTGGAAGTTTTCTAACATGTTTTAACTAGACTTTCTTTGATCATGTTGTATCCGTATCAACTTCAGTGATACCAGCCAAGTTGGGCTGTGTCCAAGTTACTAACCAGCGTTATAATGCGTATATATATATATAAGTATATCATAATGTTGTATGTGTATATATATATGTATGTGTTTTTTCAGAATGTGTACCACATATATATATTTGCATATATATATACACATAAAAATATATATGCATATATATATATATAGATATGAATATATATATATATATATGAATATATATATATATATTTATACATCCAATATCCTCTCTCCCTATTACTAAAAACCTCCAAATGGTAAGCACGGTGATCTATTGTGATTATTAGGGGGTATTTAGTATTAGGGTGCCCCTAATATTCCAATGAAAAACATAATAATGAAAACAACTCGATTTCAAATTTGATTAAGTCCCTTTTCAAAATCAGTATAATATTGCCAAAAAATGGATTTCGAAGCTTTCCCTAAATATTCCAATGAAACCCTAAGAATAAAAATAAAATAATATTTGTGAAATGGGACCCTAATAAACCTCCAGGTGGCAGTCTATTGTTATGAATAGGGGGTTGCACCCATTGTTTCACCATCCTGTTCTCCGATTGATTCTCAATTACCACAACTAATAATCCAATTGTGCCCAACAAAAAAATCCGGAAGTGCGACATTTTGTTTTTTAATGTTGGGTAGTTTTAGTAATAGGAAGAAGGGATTATATTATAATGTGTATATATATATATATACATACATATATATCTATTTGTAAATGTATATATTTATAAATTTGAATATATCATTTCCCGGGGAACATTTGATCATTTTCCACAACAGAACCCATGGCCGCCGCAATGCGTCGTCCATGGCAAGGTACTGTTCAGACGGCTGGCACTTGAAATGTCAAGAGCTTAGCTGTGGACCGAAATGTCAAGAGTTGCGGCACCTCAAATGGCCGAGGCGTTGCCATGATTTAAGATATTTTAAGTATTTAACCTTGCGGATCCAAGTACCTTCTGAGGAAATATCCGGGGTATAATTTGTGGGGTAGGGTAAGTTAATTACTGCAGTATTGAGGGATCCATCATAAATTTCACAGCCGTAGGCCAGCGAATCTGCTTCAGAAAAGGTTCCCAAAAATTGCCGAATCCAGAAATCCCCACAACAGGTGTTGGAGGGTTTCGCTGGAAATGATAGCTGAACGTTGTGAATCAAAAAGTCCCATGGCCCCCCCACCAGCAACTGACAGTTTGTTTGGTAAGCACCGCCAAAAATGGATGGTACAATACAATCCCTTCAAAAACTACATCAGCCCATGTTGAACACTTAGATCTTCAACTGTCCTCATGTATGGTGGTGAAAACATTTTTTTTCCCCATCTGTTGTTGGGTAATGAACAACATATGCATTGTTTGAACATAGGGAACATGCCTGAATCCACTGGATAGTAATCATCACTATCTATCCCCGTTAACTGCTGATAAATTGCAATTTTTGGGGCATACCCCATATAATACGAATTTTGCACACCAAATTTTATCATTGTTGTTTCCGCAGCATCCCCATAAAATCTTGTGTTTCGTTGTTTAAATCCGTTGAAATCACAAGGCTGGTTAAACCTGGGTGAACTTCCAATTATTGTTGCTTAGATTTGTTAAAATATCATTTAAAATTCAAAATCCAATAAAATCATATAAAATTCTGTTGAATCCCACAATCAGATGTCGCCCCCCCTTGGCCGAATGTAAGGCCACACAAACTGCCCCTGTTCGATGGCCGTGACTTGCAGATGGCCAGAGTCACAGAATGGTCCGTTTCGAAAAAGAGAAAAACAGCAAACATATTCGAGCCATTAAAAATAGGGGGCTCATGAGGCTTGAAAACCAGCAATTATGGAATACAACTGATAAATGATCGTTGATTGCTGATGAAATACCCTTACTTAATGGGATTTTTGTGGGATTTCCGCATCAATTATAGAGATTGATGATGGTTTATGAGGGTTTTATAACTATCATGGAGACGTAATTGATGAGTGATGATAAGTGATGGTTGATTGGACAGTGGCGGTTATACTACCTGATTAATTAAGTGAGGATTAGTGTAACCTTTTTTGGGGGGGATATTGACCACCAAGTATAAAAGGATGGGGTGAGGGGATGTTAGTAGGGTATGTGTGGAGATTTCATCGTTCACCGTGAAAAACGTCGCCGATAAAGCCAGTTCAGGATGCCATAGATTTTCTGGTGTATGTACTCTCTGGTAAACCAAAAATAACGATCATAACTATTGAACATCACCACTTTTAATAGGTAAATCAACTACAACTGGGCCATTTTGCATACTTATGTTAAATTACCAGAGGCTATACTTGTAGAATTTTGAGGTGTGGTAACCACAAATTGCTCTCAAGTTGGTTTATGAGCAAGGCTACAGTAGATGAAGCTAGTAGGTTTATGGCTCAACAGATATAAACGGGATGAAATAATTATCTCCTGTAACTGAGATGAAATATATCACTTAAATGAGGTTATAAGTTCTAAACCACTTATCACTGTTAAGTATATGATAGGTGGTGACACATACTATTTATCACTACCCAGTGCTGCTAGAACCCATCGGGGGTTTGCCTGGCGAATAAGCATGAAACAATATATCCTACAGGTTTTGAATCACTACAGTAGGTTGACGATGTGAACCTTCGCAAATCCAGACATGGGAGATTTTTTAAAACACTTTTAATCCAATTGTATCCAAATATGGCAATATATTTGACATGTAAGATTCCAAGTCAATCATGTCTAGGTGGAGCTTGTCGTAATGGTAAAATCGTTATAAATCACCCGAAGTATCGATTCTTAAGTTTCTCTTTTTCTTGAAGTTCTCCATCCTTTTCACCAGGTCACTCTGATCGCGTAGGTCGCAAGGGCCTTCGCAAAGCTTTTGATCCGCGATGATTTGCTCTTTGATGACATTGCCGATGAGGTCAATTGGGATCCGAAACAACGAGTGGGCCAGCCTTTCGACAAGGAGCTACGAGGAGAGTCATCGTCAGGAGAGGAGATTCCATAGATGAATATGATATCTTATGAATATTCATCTAGTAACCACCATATCCATAGATTATGAGTAGATTCCAATTCCCATAGATTCCCTCTTTATTCCCATGGTTCCATGGTTCCATAGGGAGGAAACAATGGTTCCATCACCACGTCAGCGCACCTTGCACGCACCGCAAGCATCGCCAGGTGATTCGTCGGCCGCAAGATTTAGATCATGTGGCAAGCTGAGAGATGGAAGATTGTTCTAGGGTGGTTGACCATAATTAAAGCATCATGGACCCGAAGCACCAGCCATGACATTGGGCAAATCGTGTATGATGCACTGTATGTATAATTAATCATGTTCGTCATGATTAGTGTGTGCCCCCCCAAACAAATGCTATATATACGTTCTTTAAAGTTGTTGTTTTACTATACAAGCCGTTCCACAGGGGAAAAACTACGATCCTACATGTAAGTAAGGACTGAATTGGGGTCATTTTTTTTGCGATGAACTTGTGATATTTGTAGTACTTGTAGTGCTTGTAGCACTTGTAGTACTTCTAATACTTCTAGTACTTGTAGTGAGTGGGGTTCAGCATGTTGATTGCATTATCTTTTGCACTGCACCTCAATGTGTAATAAGAGAAAGAGAAACAGAAGGTTGCGTTTGTAAAAGGATGTTCTTTCTGCTCTTGGCTCCCGGGTCACCTGCGGAAAAGTTTGCTGTAATTCTGAACCTGGGCATTTGGAAAGCTGTTCTTTAATTAGAATTGTTTGGGAAAGGCAGACAAGCAATATTTTTTGCAGAAAAAGAAGTCACACAAACATCTGCTTTGGACCAAAAATAGTCTGCCAAAAGTTATTGCCACAATAGTTAAACTTCCAATCTAGTCATGGGATCCGAATAATTTGGAATTTCTTAGCCACAATAGCGAACCTCACCTTTCGGTCCATCAGTGGATTCGCTCTGCCATCCGAGCATCACAACCTCTCACCTCTCCTATAGGTTTCCTATCTTTAAAACTTCCGCCACCGCCTTGTGCGGTACTACTGGTATATATGATATATTCTGTATGTTTTAGTAATTTTGCCTGTATATTAGGGAGTCAACAGGGGGTCAAGGTACGTAGCGGATACTGTTTTATATTTCATGACCGCTTCAAGTGACGCAGAGAAACTTGATCTGATGCCGCAAGTGGGCACTCGAAGTTAGGCTTCGTTGCTGGTGATTGCAAGCGCATTTGCGCGGTTCAACATCCGTGAAGTCCTTGGAATATTGGAACATGGCAGGGAAAGTGGAGATCCATGGCAGAGGATTGCCCGGTCATAAGTTTGATTGGTGGGCTGCTGGTATACTATCGGGGCTAATGTGGAGATTGTGGGAAATCATTCGCGGATGCACATGTGTCACAACGACGCTCCAAAAGACATTTGATAATTTTGATAAGATGTTGTGTATGCGATCCAAAGATCTTCAAGAGCTCATGCCAGCAGCTGTAAGTAACTTGCAGCCGAAGATAAATATGGATAAATGCTGCAGCAGTGGTTTTGAACCCCTGGGTGTGTACTCACCTTTGTACCACAGGAAACCGCTAGGCATAGGCTTGGCCAACCATGCACTAGGACATTTTTGCCGCCCACAAGTTGAGTGGCCATGGCAGCCATTCTACTCCTAGGCACTCAACGCTTGTGGCCCGTGCTGGGTGAATGGCAGGGGGCCTCAATTAAGGGCCTCAACGCCTGTAACAAATTTTGAGTCATACCCAACTGTGCATGCAAAAAGGTGATGATATAAAGCATACAACTGCTTGTTTCACCAGACAATTATAATGAGATCATTTGGTTGGTGCTCCATGCTTACCAATGTTTCCAAGTTTTGAAAGATTCAAGATCCTTAGCTGCCTTAGCATGTTGCCGGTTGAGTTGAAATTCAAGCTTCAAGCTGGCTGGATTTGGCATTGCTTTCCTTTGCAGGTATTTGGCCTAATTGAAATCCTGATTAATATGGGGAAGGGTCAAAACCATTCAAAACCTATTATTACCATATGTTGGGGAATAAACATTAGCCGACTATTTTTGAGCACCAAAGGTACCATGGTTTTGACCCATACACATATCTATGAACGTTCTTTGAAACGGTCTTTGACCGCTCTGAGGCTGCTGCAATCACATTTGGACTTCTCGGCACAGGCTGATTTCTCTGCCCAAAATTGACGGCAGGTGTTTTTTGGCCTGAAATGTCAATGATTTTGGAGTCTGAGAATTTGACTTGATTAAACCCGTTCATACCAGGTCTCAGGGTTTGGTTATTATAATTATATGTAATTATATAATATTATAATATATATATAGGTATGTATATATACCTAGATAACCTTTTACACCTTTTTTTGGGGTTGCCAAAGAAGGTAAGTGTTTTTTTGAAAAACTTATGCATTTGATTTTCACTAGAGAGTGACTATACATACAAACAGCCCGAAAATCAAGCAATAACATATCCGGACCCAAATAATTCACTTCCCGACAACCCAAGCAGTGGCCTCAAAACAGGGCAAGACCAAAGCCAATGTTATTATGGCAGATCATCGAAAAGGTGAGGTTCAACTGGGTAGATAACAAAATTATATGCTAGTTTAGATATGATGCTCAACGAAAACATGCTCGCAAAAACAGCAAGCAGTCTCAAAATTTATCTCTGTTTGAAGGGATCCTGTCATATTGACGTGCAATTTCTATGGCAAATTCTGCCAACTGTATTAAGTTTCCGCAAGTTTCATGTAGTCTCTGTGGTCACTTGATACCAACATTTAGATCTCCTTGTCGGACCCGATAAGCCATAATCAACATATTATCAGAATCACATAAAACCTTGAAAACATGTTCAAAACAAGCAATAATTATTAGACAGTTTATTTTCAAAAATACCCGGAATTGAATTATGGTGGGTTTTTTTTGGCAAATTAGAGGTATTTTACGGGTTGGTTAAGGGGAGCCGGGGAGCCAAATTTCGGCCAAAAGATACTCAAATTCGAACTATATTACGGGTTTGTTATGATTATGACCCATCATTAAAAAATATCAAAAACAGACTGGTATTTCATGGTATTCCTGTGACGGGTGAATGTGTAAAAAATACTTCTACGGATGTTGCGGCGAATGGGTAAAGAAGTCTGACATGATCCTGTTCGGTGAAGTCATCAGTCTTTGCTGTTCATGCCCGGGTTTCCGGGGAACGGGTAAAGAATTAGAATATTCGATACACTACACCACTTGCACCACTTACACCAGTGATGGTGCATAAACCCTATATGAACCTGCGTCTCTAAGGGTTATTGTGGTTATTGTGGCATGATAGGTGCCCCATTTTCCATAGCTATCAAATACTTTTAACTTGATTGTACTTGATCTTTGCACTTCAACAGTGGAATTCATTCCTTAGGCCAAGTCAGTTCTCCATCCTGTTTGTTTGGCAGGAACTTGTCATACGGACCAATTCGATGTGATTAAAATGAGGGGTTTTTTAAAACACATTGTTAAGAAAAAACAAAATACTTTACTTCGTGTGATCCCCACCATGACATTTATACATTTTCTTACTGGCAAATCTTCTGGCATTCTATCTGACATATCTTCTGACAATCTATTTGGCATTCTATCTGGCATATCTTCTGGCATATGTTCTGGCATATCTTCTGGCATATCTTCTGGTTCTATCTGGCATTCTATTTGGCATTCTATCTGGCATATCTTCTGGCATTCTATCTGACATATCGTCTAGCATTCTATCTGGCATTCTATCTGGCATATCTTCTGGCATATATTCTGACATATTTTCTGGCATTCTATCTGGCATCCTATCTGGCATTCTATTTGGCATTCTATCTGGCATATCTTCTGGCATATCTATCTGGCATATCTTCTGGCATATTTTCTGGCATTCTATCTGGCATATCTTCTGGCATATTACCTGGCATTCTATCTGGCATATCTTCTGACATATCTTCTGGCATTCTATCTGGCATTCTATCTGGCATTCTATTTGGCTTTCTATCTGGCATATCTTCTGGCATATCTATCTGGCATATCTTCTGGCAGATTTTCTGGCATTCTATCTGGCAAATCTTCCTACATGAGGTCCGGCAGGGAACACTTGGCGTGGATACTGCGGTTGCGGTCCGGCAGGGAACATGGGCGCGGATGGTCGTGGTTCCGGCAGGAACACTGGGCGTGGATGGTCGTGGTTGAGGTCAGGCAGGGAACGCTGGGCGGGGATGGTCGTGGTTGAGGTCCGACAGAGAAAAACACTGTGGATCGCGGGTCGCAGTTGGACGAGGAGGACGGACGAGGAGGACGACGAGGAGGACGACGAGGAGGACGACGAGGAGGCGAGAGGAGAGGAAGGAGGAGGAGGAGGGACGAGGCAGGAGGAGGCAAATGACATAAAATCTAACAACCCTCACCTGGCAGGTGGGGAATCATATGCGTTTTCACTTTAATAAGAAAATAGACAGGTTTTCCATTTTGACCACAGAAAAAGTAAGTATTTGACTCAGAAGGTGTATATATGTATTATCACGAAAGCTAGCGTCAGCTAGCTGGAGTCTTCTTGCTTTAGCAAGTATTCCGGGGGCTGCTCAAGGACATCACGTGATTTTTCACGCGAAAGGGGGGGACCCCCACCACCACCACCACCACCATCACCATCATCATCATCATCATCATCTTCATCTTCATCGTCATCATCATCGTCATCATCATCATCATCGTCGTCGTCGTCGTCGTCATCATCATCATCATCGTCGTCGTCGTCGTCGTCATCATCATCATCATCATCACCATCACCATCACCATCATCATCATCATCATCATCATCATCGTCGTCATCCTCATCGTCATCGTCATCATCATCATCATCACCATCATCATCATCATCATCATTGCCATCGTCCTCGCCATCGTCCTCGTCATCGTCATCGTCATCATCATCATCATCATCATCATCATCGTCCTCGTCATCGTCCTCGTCATCGTCATCGTCATCGTCGTCATCATCATCATCATCATCATCGTTATTCACTTACATTTCATCATTATTGGCAATTGTTGGCATTATCACGAAAGGTAGCGTCAGCTCGCTAGAGTCTTCTTGCTTTAGCAAGTATTCCGGGGCTCCCCAAGGACATCACGTGAATTTTCACGCGAAAGGGCCCCCCCCCTGCCCCCTCCCCCATATATATCATTGTTATATATCATATATCATATATCATTGTTGCATCCTCGTTGGGACGAACAATGCCGCGACACGATGATGACAGTCCCTCCGCAACTCACCTCTTCCCTTCCTTCTTTCTCCTACCCCGCTAGCTTTCGTCATCCACCCCCGGCCTCAAGTATATTATATATATACACTTAATATGTGTATATATATATACACATTATATTAATATATTAATATACTAATATATCAATATATTAATATATATATATATACATATACATATGTTCTTTTAGTCTTTTAATTACCCTGAAATTTGGTGATTTCCCTGGAATTGTCAAGATTTTGATGGTTTTACTCGGATTCTTCCCTTCCCGGAGCGGGGTTCAGCGTCCTTGTCAGGACGTTGGAGCGGTGTTCAACGCCTTCAGTACCGTGGACTTTGAACACAAGGAGTGGCCAAGTGCCACAGTGCTTTGCCCGTTGATGGGATGTCACCATGGTTAATTTTCTGGTTATTTTAATTTTTCATGGTTAATTATAGTTGAACCTGGATCATAACGATGATCATCAATTTTTGGGTGTCATATGGGCCCAATGCCATGGACCATCCCATTAGGTCGTTATACCCAACGCCATGAAGTACCACAATTGGGGATGGCTTACAGGGTTTACCACATGAAGTACCCTATTTTAAGATGAAGCCATGGAGATGTTCAATGAGACTTTGATATCGTAGAAGAAAATCGTTCTGTATCACTCCAACTTTCAATGGATTGGGGGTGTCCTAATTTTGAGATGCCTTATAATATAATATAATATATATATATATATACAAAAACTATAAATTATAATATAAGATGTACATTAAATATCTTGATGATTTGGGTTCACATGTTGGCGCGTTGGGACTTTCGGATGCCGCAGGAACTGTTCCAAACCTTGTTGCTGAGCCTGTCGCAGGCGCAGCCTTGGGCGGTGTCAGTTGACTGGAGGTTTGTTTCGGGAGGGTTTTGGCGACAAAATCTGGGTAATGACCAGAAAAGGTATAGTTGAAATTAATTAACATGGATAGTTCTACTATCTAGGTCAAATTCGATTGGATTACAAAGAAATGGATGGTCACAGCTGAACATGAACCATGAGAACCAGAATCTGTTTTTTTGGTGATTCAATTTGGGCCTATCAAATATATATATATATATATATACACACTATGATATTTGATATAGAGTATGTATATATATATATATATGCTATAATAATATATATATATATATGTACATATACATATTATGAGCATAAAATACTACCAGCCAGTTCTATTTTGCTTCGATTTTTTGCTGTCGATTCGAGGAGCCTCTGCTTTCTGAAGCCAGCCCCTCCACCTTGTGCCCAGAGCTCAGCCAGCTGAGCCCTTCACATGTTGGGTTACCCTCCGGTCATCAAACATAGCAAGCTGAGCAATCCCCGAACTAGACATGGAGGTTTCTAGCTGGGAAAATCATCGAACTAAATGGGAAACAGTGTGGTTGCTATGTGGGTCTAAGAACTACAAAACAAACCAACCCACAGACTCAGTCATGTTTTACCCTCTGGTAAACTAACATAGCTATAGAAAATCACCATTATTAATGGGTAAATCCACTATTTATATGGCCATTTTCAATAGCTACGTTAGTCATTACCAGAGGGTATCATTTGCACCCTGACACTGCGCGATGCACAGATGTGCATAAGTTCAGTATCTTGTCCCCAGAATCATCGTAACATTTCGTGTCGGCAAACCATGATGGTATTCAGCCACAATATTGCAGATGATGATTTTTGAAACCACTGGGAAGCCTTTGACAACCCTTTCCGGGTGTTGTTTCAAGGTCTTACCTTCAACGCAATGGAATCTCGACTGCAGTTGTGCAGCCAGCGACACAATGTCTAAGAAGATGCAAACTGACCAGTATTTTCAGCAGCTTGAGTAGGTGGATCAGCGTTGTTTGCAAAAATGGAATGCGGATGAGACGCCTTGTATTGTCCATTTGATTCAACCTAATTATTGAAGATATATGAAGATATATTATATAATGATATATATATATATTTCCATATATACATGGCAAGATCGTAGGAAATATACATGGCAAGATCGTACTAGAGTAAGCCTACTGCACTTTTGCGATTGTCCGGTCCTGAACCATGCATTCGCACTATCAAACCAATTTGTGGAAAACGCAATATCCCAGCCATTTTTTCTGGGGAGGTACAGATACGACATGATACAGTAAGAATACGATGCCACCCAAACGATACCATACAGATACCAAACAGACATGCAACACTCAGATGTGGCATTGACATTTGACGTCTCAATAGCTTACCTGTTTCCAACACTGCAAAATATCAAGACAAATGTTCTAGCTCTTTAGGAACAACTAATTTGACTATGCGTGATTGTGGTTCCACTGGAAAACGACAGCCCAATCATATCGGTCCAAAAACACTAGCAGTGACTTTGCAGATGTCATGGATGTTGAAGGGTAGCAACAGAAGAAGCCTTATCTTTCGGGGTCATTAATCCACTTGCAAGACTGTGAAGGCTACTGTTGTTTAAAACTCATTGAAAATCGTGGCTCTGAAAGCCTCATCCCAGTGGGAGATGATCCACCATAACCATCCAATCATCCAACATCATCCAACCAACCCACCTTTTTCGGGGGGATTTCTTTAGGGCTTCCGGGAAGAGAACGGTTGAAGTGGCCCAGGTGCGGCTGAATTGGCCCAGGGGCCACGAGGCGATGGAAGGTCTCAATGTCTTGGTGGACAAAGTGAGCGGCAGGCCGCTCAAAGTGACCTGGGAGGGATGGGAGGGGTGGGATGCCAGTTTCGGTGGCCGTAAGGATCAGTATGAAATGTATGAAATGTATGAAACATATGTATACATATGTATACATATGCATATTATAATGTATATATTGTATTTGTATGAAATATCATATATATATAATATATGTTATGAAATGCAATGATATGCTCTGAAACACATTCAAATACCATATTCGGGACATTTCGGGACGAACAGCCCATGAACGAAAAAGCTATATATTTTAAATTGAACAGAAGGACTGGGTTTTGACCCGTACCCATGTGAGAATGGATGGCTGGAAGAAAAAAACGGATTTAAGCAGCACGTATTGGCATTGAACCACTGAAAGTGACGATCCATCATCAATAAAGTTGCCATGAGCAGTTCAAAATCCTTGGCGTTGGTTGATGATGATGCGGCGCTATTTATCACTCTAATTAATTATACAAGTTGTGGCTTCTCTTAATCCATGACCTAGGAATATCAATGAAAACCAACCAAAGGTTTTCCAAGCAAGTTATTTTCCAGTAGAAAGAACATACACAATACTATCCAAAACCCTTCTGATTTAGTACTGACTGGCCCTTTTATTTTGAGGGTCCATTCGGGGGAGGGGTATATTTACTGCAATATCAGGGGGAATGGGATGTTGCAAAAAATGGCTGGCTTGTGGTTTCTCGTATTTCTCTTACAGATATCATCGATGATGCGACTGCTTGGTTTCAACATACTGCAACGACTAGGTTTTGGATTTGTGGTGGCCTGTCTCCATACTTATTGCATCATTTCCCTTGTTTGGAAGGCTTCAAACATTTCCTAATATAGTGATTATATGTGATTATGTTCTTGAGAAATGGAAGATATGTCTTTACGCTCAAGCTCATCCTCATATAAAGAATGAACTATAGCATGCAGTGCAGCCTTAACATATACCCTTTAAAAGATACTGGGTCCAGAGAAAATGGAATCAACTTGACAATGTCAAAGTCCAAAAAGCACCCAACGAAAAGTCATAAGTCACCACCAGAAAAAGAGTTTGCTGTGTGTGGTACTATAGTATAATCAATCTACCATCCACGTGAGTTTGTCTGAAACTAGGGTAGCCCCACTTGAGATGGCAAGTTATTTTCCTTTTTAACATGGTGATATCTTGGTGGTAGTATATGTACTCCACATCACTCCACTTTCAAACAAATCCATATAGATTTATACATTTACACATATATAAAGATAGTTACCCTCTGGTAAACTAACATAACTATGGAAAATCACCATGTTTAATGGGAAAATCCACACTTTATATGGCCATGTTCAATAGTTTTTTGTATGTTAGTCATTACCAGGGGGTAGACCCTTCTACAAATTCTGGCGTATGAAATCCCGGCGAGGTTGGCTGACTTTGATCCAGTGGGCTTGACACAACTGCTCCATGCCTGTGCAAGGCTCGGTGTTGTGGAGTTTTGGTGATGAAAAAACATATAACTCAACTAAAGACATAGACCATCATTAAAAACATGTATATAATCAACTAGCATTGTTCATTAATCATGTAGTAATAGTCATGCTAATAACAATATATATATATATATTCTATAGTAATAGTTTGTGCATTCTGTGGTAACTAATGTATACTATATATGTATATATCACTAGAAGATATGGAGTCTATGATATTTAATGACTATATGATTATATATTCAAATAATAGTTCACATAATTTTGACCGAATACATATATATATATGTATGTATATATATATACAATATATGTATCATATATATATCATATATATATATATATCATATATATATATATCATATATATATATATCATATATATATATATATGTATCATATATATATGTATCATATATATATATATCATATATATATATATCATATATATATATATATATATGTATCATATATATATATATATGTATCATATATATATATATGTTATACATATATATATATATATGTTGGAACTAAACTTGAGGACTTCAGCTGTGTTTATTTTCATGAAGTCATTGCAAGGTGGCAACATAAACCAAGAAACATACTTGAAGGACACCACCTACCGGGGTAGCGACTAGTACCTTGATCCAATTACTTGGGGTAAAGATGTTGGAGCCAGACGCCGTTTTGTTGGCATTATGGGAAGCAGGATATAACTGATCACTGACTATGTTCAGCACATGTCAAAGTCAGTCCAAAGCAGACAACACCACAGTGAGTCCAGTGATACTGAAAAACACATATATATATATAGATAGATTATACTTTATAATATTATATATACATATATATATATATATATACATATGTAATAAGTAAGCCATATCCCCATGTGTGGTGAAATCCCTGTGGTTTCTCCTTCGTATTCAGCTGGTGAGACTCAAAAACATCGGCATCGTCTGCAGGTTCAGACCATTGCAAAAGAAGACTCAGCTGGTAGAGGTGGCTGTTTTGTGGCAGACATCTTTGTGGGAGAGTGAATTTGTTATTTGTATTTATTTGTTTGTGATGTGATGTTTTTGTATGTGTGTATATTTCGAACTGACATATAGAAGCGTTTAAGAATCACTCAAGAATTCAGAGGTTTCTGTTCTCCCGAAACACAAGAAATATAGGCAGGGCTTCCCTCTCCCAATGTAGCAGTGATTAAAATGTTGTCCCAAAAAGTCAATGGGGAAACATCCCTATTTCCTTCACCAATTCATCCAGTGCCCTGGTATTCCAATTGCCGCGGAGATCGGTGACCAGGGTGAAAAACTACCTTTATGTCATGAATCTATGAAAAATAAATAAATATATATATATATATTTATTTATTTATTGAGTCAATAATATGGTACTTTAGTCACTTTAGTAGCAAGTTAAATCCTAAACAGTGCCAAATTATGCCAAATTACTGTTCTCTCTTTTTGGAGAGTGGTATACAATGGTCATATCTTTTCCAGCACCGGCACTAAAAAATCACCAGGGCATCTTAGAGCAGTGCGGAGAGAAGATCCAGGAGTTTCCGGCGCAGCGGATGACCCAGGAGTTGGGGGCGGGTAAAAAGGGAATGTCGGCATCATTCATGTTGTTAGTATCAATGGATTGGTTTAAGGGAAAATTTACAGGAAACCATGGTTTTTACCATTAAATGTGTGGTTTTCCTGTAAATTTTCCCCTAAACCAATCCATTGACAGTATACACCTGGTTGGTGGTTTGGAACATGGCTTTTATTTTTCCATATATTGGGAATATTTGGGAATAATAATCCCAACTGACTTTCTTATTTTTCAGAGGGCTTGAAACCACCAACCAGATATTGTTAGTATACACCTATTAGTAATGGGTAGAAAAACAAAAATAATAGGATTTAGCAACAATTGGGTAGATTATTAATAGGATTTAGCAGTTGTTAGTATAGAGGATTTGAATGGATTTAAATCATTTATAGTATTATGGGGATCTAATCATCATTTAGAAGGGTTGCTTCAACAAATAATACTTGATAGCCACAAGGGCGGAAACATTGGTAATTTTACATTTGTATTTGGGGTCTTGGGAGCATCCCTGTCTATAGGGGGTTCAACCACTAGAAATGCGGTTCATAGTTGCTGGCGGGACCACAGGTCGCCTGGCTGTTTGCTTGTGTGGGGGGGGTTGGGGGGTGGGGTTGGGGGGGTGGGGGGGGCGTAATTACGTTCCTTTGTCTGCGTTCGCCTGGACTTTTTTTTTGGTAGCTATTTTTATGTTACGCTTGCACGCTGCCTCATCATCTTGCACGCAACACGTCATGCTACGCTTGTACGCTGCCGCATCATCTTGCACGCAACACGTCATGCTACGCTTGCACGCTGCCGCATCATCTTGCACACAACACGTCATGCTACGCTTGCACGCTGCCTCATCATCTTGCACGCAACACGTCATGCTAAGCTTGCCAAGCAACTACCACCGAAAGATCAATGGCCCACATGAGGTCCAGGTCAACCCTCTGATGAGAAAGCGTGTCTTTCAGTTTTGCTGGCGCAATTCGCTGCAATCGCCCAGCCCAGCACAGTTCTTAAAACACCTGGCAAAGTTGCAATGCAAAAAAAAATGTAGCGGCGTTAGTTTTCAGGATGATGAAAAATTGCCACCTTTGCCTGACGTCTAATTTCCAATGGGCAGAATACCTGGATAATGGTTTCGTAACCAGGCGACTCATGGTCCCGTGACCTAGTTCATCCGATCCCCTTAATGGAATGTAAATGCGGCCAAGATATACAGTACCGTTTGCCCCGAATGAATTGGATCATGTCTTGATCAAGGCCTGTACGTACAAAAGTACTTTCCCCATATCTCTTCACATACTACAGCGTGTTATCGAAGAAGGCTTTGCGATACAAAAGTGCTGTAAAGGTTTTCGCAAACTCGTTTTCCAAAATCCCTGGTTCCTGGTTAGTTTGCCCTTTTTACGCTCTCTCGCTTTCCTCCACATAAAACAATGGCATGACACGCTCAATGTAATAGTTGAACGAGGGCGGGGGATTGATCCCTTATTGAATATCTTCAACATCCTACATGCGATCAAGTTGCAGTCTGGGCGAATGGCGCTGCCTGGCCCTGTAATAATTATGGAACCAGAAAAAATATAGATCGAATACTGAACCAAGATTTCTAGAGTATTCTATTTTATATCATACGGAAGGGATTGAGTCTAGACGAGATACATCCCCATAATGGAACCTGACTAATGACAACATCATGTTTGGAAACCCAGAGCCCCATGTTCCAGTTGTCATGTTTAATTTAGTGGGGGTCATATTGACATGTTGACACGAATGAAGGGTAGTTGTGAGATCTTACGCAATATTCCGACTCAGCTATTCACATCTATTCACTATGTTCATCGGCCTTTTAGACGAAATACATGAAATTACAATTTTTGTGTATAGATTGTGTTTCCAATCAATGTTAGTAAAGTGGGGCACATTCGTTGGCTACTGGGCCAACTGTGGTTTATGTATGTCCACGTTGAATATACATATATAGTTAAGATATATTTTATAATATATATATTCTATAATATATATATATATATATATATTCTATAATATATAATATGTGCATATTGCTCGTGCTTCTGTGTATAGGATGGAATCGTAAAGTGTCAACCAACAAACACTTCTAACTGCTGGCCCCGGGTTCCCCCAAAATTGTAGCAGTTCCCGGGGTTACGTCGCAACTCAGGTCGTTAAGTCTACTGGTGAATTCGTGTGCACGGCTTCAGCAAAAAGATGCAGGAGACTCAGCTGGCACCAAATGGAATGGTGAGAATCAAAAGGATGGATACAAATGGTTGGTTAATTTGAGGTTCAGTGGTTCAGTTTCTGAACCTCAAAAAAGAGACCCGGACGTATGTTTATGGGTTTAGACTGCCAGACGCGACCGTTTTTCTACAGATCTGTCCGCTCCGCTGGAGTTCCGCTGCAGTTCCAGGTGACCATGTCAGTTTTTTTAGCCATAAACCGAGCTCAAATCCAGGTCAAACTTAAGTTGGTCTGACAAAAATATAGATGTTTTTTGTTTTTTAATGCAAGACGCGTCACTCGGTGAGCAAGGTGAACCTCTTGACCAAAGTTGCCAAGAGTGCCGCGCCGGATGCCCGATGTCCGCTGTGTCGACTTCAGGGAGCTCCGGTCTTCCATAGCGCGCGAAGTAGGGCTATGGTGAAGTGGTATATCTTGGTGATGACTGAGTATATAAAGGTAGACTTAAGGGCATGTTTGGAAAATTCAACCAACACAAATGGTGATAGAACCAATAACATTATGGGTCGAACCGACTGACAAATATGTGAACATTGAACATGGGTTAAATTTGGCTACATTGGACATAAATCGATGTGGGATACCCAGCTGAACATAAACTTAAAGGGTATCTAATATCTAAGATCAACCGTGATTCTAGGATTAGTGGTACCTACCCACCTGTCACGTTCAGAAACTGATGAGCAGCACGATGGATTTGTATGATTGAAATGCTGCTACTGAACTGGAAAGTGTTCCTGAAGAAACTGGCTTCTTGGTGCTTTCGTTCGCAGCTTATTGCTTCGTTTTTGCGGTTCCCAATTGTATTTAATACACACCAGATTCACAGGGTCTAGCATGAAACAAATGCAAGAAGCTGTGCAGCATTTCTACCCATCAAATGGGGATGCCCTTGATCTCCTGGAATTTCATGGTAAAGTTGTAGTGAAACAACATGTTTTAACATCGTTCAACATCTTTCAACATGTTTAAATCATAAAATGATTGGAGTGAAGCGCAAGAACTTCCAAGCACTTCAGTTGGACTTGGGCCCTGGGCTCTAAGGCCTTTGCTGCCGGAATTCACCCCACAGGCCCTGGCAGTGACGGCCTATGGCTTTGCAAAGTTGGAAGTGCGTACGGGGCCCCGATGGCGCAGCACCAGATGAGGCCATATGAGGCCACCCCAGGTAGAAGCTGTTTTTTTCCCCACATCTTTGTGTGTGGGGTTCTTGTTTTTGATTCTGTATCCCGCTCCTCCTTCTCCTCCGCCGCCTCCTCCTCCGCCTCCTCTTGTCACACACAACTTTGTCACACACAACTTTGTCACACACAACTTTGTCACACTCTCTTTCACACATAAAATTGTCACACACAACTTTCTCACACATAGCTTTGTCACACACACCCACACCATTGTCACACACTCTCTTTCACACACACACAACTTTGTCACACACAACTTGCTCACACACAGACACAACTTTGTCACACACCATCTTTCACACACAACTTTGTCACACACAACTTTGTCTCACACCATCTTTCACACACAATCTTTCACACACCATCTTTCACACACACAACTCTTTCACACACAACTTTGTCACCCACCATCTTTCACACACAACTTTGTCACTCGACCTTCGTTTTGCATGGCAGGCGTGGTGCTTGCTCACACCAACCTTCGTTTTGCGTGGCAGGCGTGGCACTTATGACACTGGGTTGGCCCTGGTGGCGCGCTTGGGCGCCGTTAGTCGCCCGTGCATGGCGCCGCGGCACTTTGCGTGGCGGGCGTGGCACTTGGCGACATCGACGTTCCATTTGCGTGGCAGGCGTGGCACTTGGTGACATCGACGTTTCCTTTGCTTGGCACTTGGTGACATCCACGCTGCAAGTGAGTCCATCTCTCTCAAATAAGACTTTGTCACAGACAATTTTGTCACACACAGTCTTTCACACATATCTCTCTCACATGCAACTTTCTCGCACACAACTTTGTCAGACACAACTCTTTTGCACACACACACACACACCTCTCTCACACACAACTTTGTCACACACAACTTTATCACACACCATCTTTCACACACACACACATCTCTCTCACATGCAACTTCTCTCTCACACCCATCTCTGTCACATACAACTTTGTCAAACACAATCTTTCACACACACACACAACTTTGTCACAAACTCACACAATCTTTCACACGCAGCTTTGTCACAAACAACTTTGTCACACACAACTCTTTCACACACAACTTTGTCACCCACAATCTTTCACACACAACTTTGACACACACACACAAAACCTTTCAGACACACAACTTTGTCACCCACAATCTTTCACACACAACTTTGACACACACACACACACAAAACCTTTCAGACACACAACTTTGTCACACACAATCTTTCACACACAACTTTGTCACACTCAACTCTGCACATACAACTTTTAAAATTATCGATCCTCCACCATCTCCTTTGTCCTTTCTGCTGTCTCAGTGCGGCTTCAACCACTTTTTCTGATTATTGGAAGAAATTGACTTGTGGGGTTATCCGGTCCTTCATTTTTTTAAACCACTAGTCCGTGAATATCTCCCACGAAACTTAGCTATCTCGGGGGGGGCCCATCTTGGAGTTTTAAGCACCAAAACAAGCTCAGGCTGTTAGATTTGTATGGATTTCTGGGGTTGATCAAGCAGTTTAATAGCTAGGGGGCCACATTTTGCACGTGTTTCTGTCATAGTTGGGGCGAAACATCATTTGACATGCTAGTTGATTATTGCTATTAACCACTTCTGTGTTGAAAATCACTCCACATCTTGTAGATTGTAGTGCGTTCCCCCGAAAGGATCCAAAAGGTACTTTGTGTGTAGAAGGAGGAATCAATTTCACTGAAACAAGTCAGTGACTTGGTGCTTTCAATGTGCATGTTTTGTTTTTCCCTTTAATATTGATAATTACCCCTGCCAAAAAGCGAAACCAACATTGAACGATGTTTGGAAGATTGCTTAGGTCTTTGAAATGACAAGTTTGGAGTTCCATCTTAGGTTTCTGACACTTGTAGTCCTGCAAGAATCGGCAAGATTGTCCAACAACTGCCAGAGGAATCTTTCTTCGATCCAAGGTTCAGAGATTTTGTTCTATTTGCTGGCTGAGCAGATCGTTCAGAAGATCCCGCTCTTCTCTGGTCAGCTGATGGCGGTGGTAGAAATTTAATGTATATATTATATACGCATACGTATATATATATATATAATTATATATGTATATATATATATACAATTATATACATATCTATTGAACAGGACTTGCATAAATTGCGACCAGATCTTGAGTTAAGCATGAATATCCTAAGGTCACATTGATTTCCACTCTAGCATGTGAGATACAATCATACATTCTAGTGAATCAGGTTGAATCAGTTTAAACATATAGATTTGTTAGTATACACATGTAACTGGTTGGTGGTTTGGATCATTTTTTATTTTTCCATATATTGGGAATAGTAACCCCAACTGACGAACTCATATTTTTCAAGATGGTCAAAACCACCAACCAGGTAATGTATACAGGGAAAAAAAAAACATCATCCCTCGCAGGTCAAGGCATTGGGATGGTGCTACAGGCCTATGGCAAGCCAGTTGCGCCCAGATTCCCATTGGTTCATCTTCCACTGGAGAATCCACTGGTGGTTTTCGGGTGTGGTTTAGAAAGAAATGGGGGAATTTCTTACTGGTGCTTAGTAGGGAATGGATGGGAATGGGGGAATGGGATGATTATTACTAGTGATTATGGATCATTCCCTCATTCCCTGCTAAGCACCAGTAAGATTTTTATTGGCAATAAAACACTCGTTCAGGGGAGGTTGGTGGGTCTTATCTTGGGAAATCATATTGACACATAGGAGATTGATAAGTCCAGATTTTGCTATTTCGGCGTGCGCCAAATGGTGCCCCATTTCGTGCCACTGTTACAATCATTGGGCCAATCACAATTAATTGCTATGGTAAGATATGTATATTGATAGTCAAAATTCAAGCCCGGGGGAACGCCTCCGACCCCATGATGTTTCTCAATATGTATATATAATGTGGGTAAAACAATCATAAACCACCCATTTGGGAATGGTTCATACCATCTGTTTATGGTAATTTGGGGGATGGTTTATTATTGTTTTACCCCCATTATATAAAGTGTCTTTCGGATATTTGTTCGAGGGTATATCTGCAATGGCTGGGTGATGTTCAATAGATCATTGCCAAATTACCACTCACTGATATCCCCTGATCCTATATTTCCATGGGAATTCACCAAATTCTAAATCTTTCGGTTTCTAAAAACTCCAAGGGTTGCCTGAACAGGGTCGTCATCCACTGAGACCTCTGGTTCTGAAAAAAATGGTTTGGTCAATGGGGGACAACCAAACATGGCAATATGTTTTACTGGGGAAAAATGGATGAACATGATGATCAACGATGTTCTTTTTAGGTGGGCCGTTTCTATAACTTGTTCAGATCAACCGAGCGCTCTGACTTGCACCGAAGGCTACACATCGACAATAAGAGACTTGTGCAAACCTGTCTCGCTCCCAGCTGGCCTTGGAACTCGGCGCTTCGAAATGATAAACGATTTTCGCCTTGCAGCATGGATATCTGTCATTCTTTTGGTGGGGCATTTTTTTAAAATGAGTTCAACTCGTAGAAAAGAAGAGCTGAAAGTATAAAATTCTTGTATTGTCCAGACATCGCCAGCATAGTGTGCCGCTTGAGAAGCGAGGTCGAAAGCATTTGCGCAGCCTTTCAGATGAGCTGACACTTTGGGAGGCTGGTGGTGGACATTTCAGTGGGTCACTGGGCTTGATAATTTGAGGATCTGAGTCATCTGGTTCGAAAATGGTTGCAGCATGTTTCTGTGAAAGAAACTGTCTGGTGGCTGGTAGTTTAACATATGAGAAATTGCCCAGTTGCAAATGATTTACTTATGAAACTTGGTTACTTTCCATGGCTATGTTAGAGTATGTTAGAGTACCAGCAGGTACTGTAACCATGTACTCCCAGATCGGTTAGTCGCCCCGTCCAAGATTAGATACCAGAGTTAGGTGCAAAAGTCTAATATTGACAGTTCGATGATATATTCCCATTAAGACATATTTAAACTCATCAAAACTTTGAACCAGTGATGCATTTGTAGATGAATATCTGATCATATGTTGATTATTGTTGATTAAAACATATCATATATCACATATCATATATCACATATCAACATACTATTAATATTAGATGACATATTAAAAACTACACATTTATTTTCGGGATTTCCCCATGTTTGATGACCCCGGGACCCGTTCCGAGAGGTCGATGCCATCGAGGATGGTTTCAAGCAACTCGATGCGTCAAGCGACTCAGAGACGACGTCAAGGGACCTGACATCGTCCGGCATGGCGGCTTTATTGGTTTTATATCCACCTTCAAATTTCAGCTACGAAATGGGGAGGACTTGGGCTACAGTACAGATTGCCAGCCAACATTTTTTTGTACAAACAGGAGGGGTTGTGCCCCCCATTTTGTATTTGGAATCATTTTGTAGTTGATTCCTTTCAAATCATGCATTTTCATTTTGTAGTTGTATATGTTGAGTTAGTTGAAGCATCCAACATAAAATTTCATTAGCATTGAAGCATTAGAATGCCATCTAACAAACTGCACGGGGTCAACACTTGATCCAACTAAATTCAATCATTGACAACTACAAAATGTTCTCCGAATTTATGTTGGTCGGAACTTTGGATGGCAAAGACCCAACTACAAAATGTCATTGGGAAAAATCATGTTAGAAATTCCGACGTTCAGCTATTTTTTTGACTTCAGATGCATTGGATTTTGTAGTACTGGTTCTGATTTTTTTTCCGAGCCAGAAAGAGTTATGTTCTTCATTTTGTAGCTGAAAAAAATGTACATGCACTTGCATTTTGTAGTTGTGCACCCTATGCATTCCGCTCTGTATCTACCAACACCATCTGCACAACTCCTCCCCCCTTATCTGAACCCCGATGGTTTTATGATATTGGGTTATATATAATTATAATATATAATTATATATATATAAAGATATAAATATATAATAATAATTATATATATATAATAATTATATATATATATAATAATAATTGTATATATATAATAATTATATATATATAATAATTTTATTATAATCATATTATTGTCACATTATTGGCTATAACTTATAACCATATATACTTTATTGGCTATGATTGGTTATATGGCAGTATTTTTCGGTGAACATTTGATGCTTTTTGTCCCTTAGCGGATTGGCACATTCTCAGCTCCAGGTTGCGATTGTTGCTGTATACTTGACAAACATGGCCTTGATCATCTGACCTGGAGATGGTCAATGAAGAAAATCCGAAGATTTTTCTCGGAAAGTTATCTATCAATAAATCAATATCTATCATCTTAGTATCTAACGGGAATAAACACTATCATGATATAATATATATATATATATATAAAACAATGATGTTCATTGTGTTTCCCGTTTGTTTACCAACGAGTCTTTGGTATGTTGACGTCGCCGATCGAGGCTCGATAGTTGGACAGAGACGCTGCTGCTGAATCTGCGGCGGCAACTCTCCACGGCCCAGGCCGAGAACTGGACAATCATGTGCTAATGAAATGGATATAATTTCAATAAATATCAATTACTGATTTCGTTGAGCATTTGGTTTTCTATCAAAAGCCAAGTGCAGACATAAAAAGTGCATACTGATGCCATTGTAAGGTTTGCAAAGTCACATAAAACCCATATGTGGTTTGTAGGGCATGGCCCTGGCTATTGCCGGGACGTAGAGAAATTCATATGGCTGACAAAGTCGGGTAAAGATGAAAATTACTTTATATACTTTATGTGTTCCCCCACCGTGGCACATATATATATATATAATACACATCCTGACATACATCATAGATTTTTATAGTCTCTGACATCTTTTCTGGCAAATATTCTGACATACTATCTGGCATTTTCTCTGACTTTCTATCTGGCATGGGGCCCGACGCGCCCCAGAGAGCTGACAAGACCGATGCCGCCGGTTAAAGAAACAGGGAGCAATATCAAACAACAGTTGCCAGCAAGAAAAACGTATTGACTCCAGAAAAGACATGTGTCCTTTATGCAAACTGAGACATGACCTGTTTATTTTTGAAAGCCTCATTCATGTTGTGGTGAACTTGGACCCTCTCAAGGCAGAATTCATCACACTTCGGCTTGATATTTTTTGTAACGCTGAAACAATCAATATCGGCCTAGCCACACACAAACAGGACTCTAGTTGAAAGGCGCGGGATAGCCTTCTTCCAAAAACAGGGTTGTGAGGGTCATGTAATGTATGGAACCGCTGACGGAAAGTGAAAGCCAACAGGTAAGGTTTATACGTTCTGCCGTCTATCATCTATAGCCTCGAGTAAATGCTTGTCAGAAGGCTTCCAACAACAAATCCGGCTGTAGAGTGCAACCTGGAAGACAAATGGCCAGCTGAAGTCCACTAAAATTGCTAGTTTGGAACAGCTCTGCGACTTAAATAAGGGCAAATAGAACTTGTGCAAACAAAACACGCATGGTCAAACTAAAGAACTCTTCAAGTGGTCTGGATGAAGGATGTGAACATGAAAAAAATATTAAAAAAATCAGGAACCTTGTGATCAAATTGATGTACCATGCCAATTAGCTGGCTTTAGATAGATGGCTGGTTCTCAACATTGAAGATAGGAAAAAAACACGGTTCAAGAACAACCTATAGCGTTGACACTCTTCTGCCCCAAATGTGCTAAGCACGCTGGTCTTCAAAGAAGCAAGGGCGCTTGGCGAAGTTTTGGTACCCAGCATTTTGCTAGTTGAAGTGTTCTTTGATGCCGCTGCAATTTTTCGCTGGTTTAGTTTAGAAAGGCTTTCTTGAGTCGGTGAACCAAACCGGCAGACACTTGAGTTGTCAGTTCTAATTCGTTGAACATGACAGACAGTTTTTGTGTTTTAGAAGCGCTTGTTTGCCAACTTGTTTGCGTGACCTCAACACAGTGTGTTCTGCGGTTACTCTCAAAATTTGGGGAAAGGGAGAAAAATGGATGAGTGTGAACCCGCCTTGATGGGAAAAAATCTGAAAGGTGTCAAAGATAGCTATATAATGCTATACATATATAAACGTCAAAATGTACTTTTTTTTTGCAAACTAAATTCGCTCGATTTTTGTCGGGGCCGCAGGTGCAAAACAATAATTGCAGCGACCCTGTGTGTTCCTGAATCAATTGCGGACAAACTAGTTTGTCTGCACAAGTGTGCAGACAATGTGGAGACAAACTGGTTTGTCTGCACATGTGTACAGACAATGTGCAGACAAACTGGTTTGTCTGCATAAATGTGCAGACAATCTGTAGATAAATTAGTGTGTCTGCACATGTGTGCGGACAAACTGCAGACAATGCCAGACAAACTGCAGACAAACTAGTTTGTCTGCAGTTTGTCTGGCATTGTCTGCAGTTTGTCTGCAGTTTGTCTGGCTTTGTCTGCAGTTTGTCTGCAGTTTGTCTGGCTTTGTCTGCAGTTTGTCTGGCTTTGTTTGCACACATGTGCAGAAAAAATAATTTGTCCGCACATTGTCTGCACACATGTGCAGACAAACTAGTTTGTCCGCACATTGTCTGCACACATGTGCAGACAAACTAGTTTGCCTGCACATTGTCTGCACACATGTGCAGACAAACTAGTTTGTTTGCACATGTCTGCACTTTGTTGTCTGCGCTTAGCTTGTCTGCACCTGTGTAAGCACACACGTGACCATTTTTTCTGATGCTGTTCTGTTGCACACGTGATCAGGCAGTGGGTTTGTGCAATCATTGGACCCTTTGGCATGAAAGCCTGCATTGTGAGTGACCAGGATTAAGGTAGCTTAGTACGAAGTGAACACATCACGGATGCCGCAAATGACTCTTTCACCAATCGCTAGTCTCGATCATGGAAGTTCATTCATGTGGGAGGTGGCCAAGACGAACGTTAAAAACTACGGCGCATTACTGTTGGAACTGCTTTACAACCTGCGTTAGCTTTGCGCAGGTGCATGCATGCAAATAGAAACTATCGATATATAGACAATGTAGTACCTTGGCATACAACAAATAACAATGTCAACGTAATGAAAAGGCAGTTCAAACATCAAATGCTAATCATTGTTTTTGACTGTCGCGACATGGCAGTCTTGCTTTATTTTTTTCGGGCCACAAAACGGTGTTTGATAAAATAGTTTGCAAACGCTAATGCGATATGTTTCCCTTGCGCTGCAAGTTTGTCCGTTTCATTTTGACTTGGTATAAGGCTGAGATTTTGCACACAGGTTAATTATTCTTTTGCCGCTATATGCTGTCTCTATGGTATGTTTTGCCTGCGTAGTATTACTGTGTATAAACAACCATATCCAAAAAAATGCAGGTTGCATGGTACATATAAATATACTATAATATAATTATATATATATATAAATTGATCAATATTTTTGCATGAAGATCGCGCCGCTAGGGGCAGTTGATTGTTTTAGGGGGCACTGTGTATTCGCAAAGGGCTGGTTGTATTTTTGGCATGCTCAGGGAGTGGAATGGCTGGGCAACAAATCTAAGGCAGCAACCGTCTCACAAGTCCATGTTTTTAAGTTTTGAGAAAACATGATGAAAATTCAGAGTTTTTATTTTCGAACTTGCCATTAAGAACCATTATTCAAAACCAAATATGACCATCCCTGATTTTCAAGAAATTATTGAAATTATGTTTAGTCAATGTTTAAACGGTGTATTGCTATCGCTCTGTGTTCTCCAGACTTTTGACGCCACAACATGCCACAACAGCATCTAGTTATCCCAAGACTGGTGTCGACAAGTCAAAACTCTACATTGCTTTGCAAAACCCACCACGATCACTGCACCTCCCTATCCCAAAACTGGTGTTGGCAAACCAAAACTCTGCATGGTTTTTTAAACCTCACTACGGCATTTGTATGTTCTTTCCATGTCTGCACTAAGCGGTGATTGGCAATCCCTGGCAGTTGTGTGCGTAGCACATGTGGGGCCAAGCACCAAGCACTCCCTAGTCCAAACTCCAAAGAGCACCCATTAGCACCCTTTCAGATGTCCCTTTGAAATGCCTTTGTCAAAACCAATAGCATATTTCATGTCTGCAACCCAACCCTTGCGTGATATTGCTCCGTAATATTTAAATCCTCGGTGGAATCAGTAATATCAATAACATGGGTATCAATAACATGTTATCATGGGTATATCCATTAATTAATTCATGTTATAATAACATTATCCATTTGATATAACATGGGCATCAATGACTTTCTGGTTGGTGGTTTGGAACATGAATTTTATTTTCCATATATCGGGAATAATAATCCCAACTGACTTTTATATTTTTCAGAGGGGTTGAAACCACCAACCAGACATGTTATAAGACTGGATAATATCAATGTGATATCAATATCATGGGTATCAAAAACAATGATATCAATAACAATGGTATAAAATTGGGGCATGATAGGGACAACCGTCACTATAATGGTGATATATTTGGATGAATCAAAACGACCTCACTGTGACCAATAAAAATATAAATGCTTGGTGAGTCAAGATTATATCAAACACATATGCGTATATAGCTTTCTTTATGGTCATCTATGTTTGGTTGTATGTCATGATATCAAGCAATTATATAACAATATTGTGAAACGTCCTTTACCTGTGTGATCCTATTTACCAAGATGTATGACCCTATAATCATATACGTACATTTGATCATATATATATATATATATATATATGTATATATATATTATGTATCATGCCACCCAATTTTCTTGACAAAATCATATATGGGTTGAAGCACTGTTCAGCCTTTGTCAACACTGATTCACACATTCCAGTTCTTTGAAACCTCTTGGGAACAACCCATTTTGGTGTGATGATGTTCCAAAAACCAAATCGAACTGAGTTGAATACATATCGTTTGGGACCACTTGCGCAGGCGTCCTAGCTAGCATGTATCTTTCCTTCGCAACACTGCCTATTTAATGGCCCATTTGGTTTTTAGCATCAGTCACTGTGTATGGCATATCTGCCTAGCTACTTTGAACCCGACAAATGGACATTTGGTGAAGTATACCATGGACTGGCTTTATGGTACATCTAACATCTAGGTCAACCTTCCATGGGCCTTTGTGTATTTTGATTTTTACATTTAAAAGGGGAAATATGATATATATATATATATATATATACACATATACACAGCATACAGTATTCTAACCATTACATTCTTTTTCAAAGTATCTACAGTTTTAGCCCTGCTGGTAGTTATTACTAGCTGAAAAGTTCATTTTTCAACTCCTAATACCATGTTGATTATTGTTAAGGCCCATGAAAAACTACAAGTATTGTACATGTTTGGAGGTTTCCTAAAATGGGGGTACCCCTAAATCTTTTATTTCAATCGGGATTTTCCATTATAAGCCTTCCAGCTATTGGGATCCACTATTTATGGAACCCCCCTAGAATGGGATTATAATGGAATATATACCGTCATTTATGGAACATGTACCATCATTTATGGATCATTTACCCTCTCGTAAGT